CGCAACATATATCCCGATTCCTGGCGCCTTCACCTCGTACGCTGCTCGCCTGATTGACCCTAGTTTGGGCTTTGCTATGGGTTGGATCTATTGGTTCTCATGGGCATCAACATTTGCGCTGGAATTAACTGCAACCGGTTTGATTATCCAGTTCTGGGACAGCAACATTCCCATCGCTATCTTCATCGGCGTGTTCTGGGTCGTCATTATCGTTTTCAACATGATGCCTGTGGCCTTTTATGGTGAAATCGAGTTTTGGTTCGCGAGTATCAAGGTCATTACCGTGATTGGCTTCATGATCTTCGCGATTTGTATGAATGCCGGTGTCGGTAAAGAAGGGTATCTCGGTTTCCGATACTGGGTGCACCCAGGTCCATTCGTCCCCTACTTGATTGAAGGAAACGATTCGTTGGCCAAATTTGTTGGATTCTGGTCGACGCTTATTCAGGCCGGATTTTCCTACCAGGGAACCGAACTGGTTGGTATTGCGGCCGGTGAGACCGAGAACCCTCGCAAGACCGTCCCATCTGCTATCCGCAAAACCTTCTTCCGTATCGTCTTCTTCTTCATCCTGACAATCTTCTTCCTCGGAATTCTCGTGCCCTCTAGCGACCCCGGTCTATTGGCTAGTCAGGGAGATGGTGCTTCTGCTCAGAACGCCAACGCTTCGCCCTTCGTCATTGCCGCCAACCGTGCCGGCGTCGCGGCTCTCCCCAGTATCATCAACGCCGTTCTTCTAACCGTGGTACTTTCAGCGGCCAACTCCAACGTCTACAGCGGGAGCCGTATCCTGGTGGGTCTGGCCCAGGAAGGTTTCGCCCCTCATTGGTTCAAGATTACCAGCAAGCACGGTGTCCCTTACTACAGTGTGCTCTTCACGGCGGCCTTTGGTCTGCTCGGATTCTTGAACGTCTCCGATGCAGGTAGCACAGTGTTCACTTGGTTACTCCAGATCTCGGGTGTGGCTGGTTTCATCACCTGGTCTTCACTGAACGCCTGCCACCTTGCCTTCCAACGGGCGCTTAAGGCTCGTAACATCTCTCGGGATATCCTGCCCTACAAGGCCATCTGGCAGCCCTGGTACTCGTGGTATGGTCTGTTCTTCAATTGTCTGATCATTCTCACCCAGGGGTTCACTGCCTTTATCCCGAACTTCCAAGTCAAGGATTTCTTCATCAACTACCTGAGCTTGATTTTGTTCGTGGTGTTATATGCGGGACACAGGATCATTTACCGACCTCCCTTTGTCAAGCCCATTGAAGCTGACCTGGATACCGGCCGTACCACTGCTGATAATGAGACATGGGAGACTATTGAGCCAACCACATGGCAAGGCAAGGCATGGAAGTGGATTTGCGATTAATTAGATACTGCTGATCTGTATATTAGTTTTTTCTTTGCATTTGCATATTATATAGGTGTCATCATTTTCTTTCTTTCTTTTTTCAATGTTTATATTCCAACAATATATCTCATATCTTCATACATGATACAGTATACCATCTCGGTCCATGTGATTAGTGCATGTGAGTTGTCCAGCAAATTATGTGGAATATGTAAGCAGCTCCACTCGGGTAGGTACCTGAGATACTATGTGAGGTACCACCCTGTGGCAAGTACCCCCAAAACAGCCGAGGTCCCTTGTTCGGCTCATGTCTTTCATGTCCAAAAAGAGTCGGTTGCTCCGGGTTTGTTGCGACTCCAGTTTTCTCCCCCACACTCTTTGCCCCCTTTAATATCCGGATCACTCGGGCATTCCTTCCTTTCTCTCTTTTCTTACTCACATAGATCTCTGGTTCGTCGGCCTGTTGTTCTCACTCATTCTCTCGCTGACCACAGATCGCTATCCCACTAGACATGTTTTTCTCACAACCTACCCATTTGGCTAAGGCCGAGGAGCTCAAGCAAGCACCCCCCAAAGGCGTCGCTTACTCCGTGGCTCTTCCCGGCACTGAACAGCCTGGCCGCAGTCCGGTATACCGAGCATGGAATGCGCAGAAGGAACTTTTGACAACACTGGACCCCGAGGTACAGAGGCGCACGCGCGAATGTTAGAATATCTTTATACTGACTGATTTTAGGTCACCACAGCCCATGATATATTCGAGTCGACCGCCATCCGCCATCCCAAGAATGACTGCCTCGGTTGGCGTCCGTATAACTCCACGACCAAGTCCTTTGATCCATACCAGTGGCTCACTTACGAGACTGTGCAGAAGAGACGCGCCGCATTCGGTGCTGGTATAGTAGAGCTGCACCACAAGCACGACTGCCATCGCCCCGGCCAGTATGGTGTCGGTCTCTGGTCCCAGAACCGGCCAGAATGGCAGATCACTGGTGAGTTTAGGTTGTGAGGGCGAAGAATTCAAGATATTGGACGCTAAATTGAACCCATGCACAGATTTGGCTTGCGTTTCGCAATCTCTTTACTCCGTCTCGATCTATGACGTCCTGTCCGAAGACGCTACCGAATACATTATCAACCACTCTGAGCTGAGCTGTGTTGTCACCTCTCTACCTCATATCGCCTCTCTGATCAAGCTCAAGCCTTCTCTCCCAACTTTGAAGATCATCATCAGTTTGGACCCATTGGATGGTGGTGAGCAGGCCGGTCACTCGAAGCGTGCCATTTTCGAGTCTATGGCCGCTGGTCTGGGCCTGGCGATCTATACTATCGATCAGGTTGAGGAGCTGGGTTTGGCCTCGAAGCGCGGATACAATCCTCCTTCTGCTTCGGACATTGTGACTATCAACTACACCTCCGGAACCACTGGTCCCCCCAAGGGTGTCGTTCTGACGCATGGCAATGCGGTGGCCGCCACGTCCTGCGGTCTGATCACTATCAGCCAAGCCCGAGGTGATACGTCGGCCTCTTATCTGCCGCTGGCTCATATCTATGCTCGTCTGGCAGAGCACACCGCTTTCTGGGGTGCTGCACGGATTGGTTATTTCCACGGAAACATCGCGGAGTTGGTCGACGATTTGAAGTTGCTGAAGCCCACCGGTTTCATGTCTGTTCCTCGTCTTTACAGTCGATTTGGTAGCGCGATCCGTGCCGCGACAGTTGAACAGCCCGGATTCAAGGGCGCTCTTTCGCGACACATCATTGCGGCCAAAACCGCGAACATGAAGAATCCCGATCCTTCCAAGGCGACCGTCAGGCACGCTCTATACGATCGCATCTGGGCTAAGAAGGTGACTGCCGCTCTTGGTCTGGAGCGAGCCAGGTACATGGTGTCTGGCTCCGCACCTTTGGATCCGACTCTACACAACTTCCTGCGTGTTGCCACCGGTACCGACGTCCTTCAAGGTTATGGCTTGACCGAGTCCTACGCTTCAGCTACCGCTCAGCCGGTCTACGATCTGACTGCTGGCAATTGCGGTAGCCTCGCACCCTGCGTCGAGGCATGTCTGGTCTCCCTGCCAGACATGGAGTACTCCGTGGACGACAAGCCGTTCCCCCGTGGTGAGCTCTTGCTACGCGGCAACAACATGTTCCGCGAGTACTACAAGAACGAGGAAGAGACCCGCAGTGCCATCACCGAGGATGGCTGGTTCCGCACTGGTGATGTCTGCACAATCGACGAAAAAGGCCGCTTCATCATCATTGACCGCCGCAAGAACGTGCTCAAGCTCGCCCAGGGCGAGTACATCTCCCCCGAGCGTCTTGAGGGTGTTGTTCTTTCCGAGCTGGGCTACATCGCCCAGGCTTATGTCCACGGCGATAGCTTGCAGACCTTCCTAGTTGGCATCTTCGGTGTCGCGCCTGACCTCTTCGCTCCATATGCCAGCAAGGTTCTGGGCAGGACCATTGCGCCAACGGACTTGGAAGCGGTCAAGGAATCTCTGAACGACGACAAGGTCCGCCGTGCTGTGCTCCGTGACCTTGAGCGCGTGGCTAAGAAGCACAAGTTTGCTGGCTATGAGAGAATCCGCAATGTCTCTCTCAAGGTGGAGCCGTTCACCGTTGAGAACAACTTGCTGACCCCGACGTAAGTTTTTTTTTTTTTTTTTTCCGTCGCCGTAATCCTAGCATTGCTAACATTATTTTCTCCTTCTATAGTCTCAAGCTCAAGCGTCCCCCTACCGTCAAGGTATACCGTTCCCTTTTGGATCAGCTCTACGAGCAGGCCGTCGAGGAGCAATCTGCTCCCAAGGCTAAGCTGTAGTGGCTCCAGCACTTATTTTTATGCATTATTGTTTCCCATCGTGTTCTCACTTTGGCATTTGGCAATTCTTCGCGGGCTCGGTTCAAGAACTGTACATAGAACCTGTCTGTACATTGTAGTATATTGAACATTCTGATGGAGTTTTGGTGCGCTACTACATTGGGTCATTCGTAGTTTGGAGATTACGAGCACATCATTTTCTTATAGTTATGTCTTGTACAAGGCTTACTCTACGCCACACTATATGTTCGACAAAAAGAAACCACAGTCCTCTCCACCAACACCATAAATTATCATTATGAGGGGAAATGATAATGCTCGCTAACAAAAAAGCAAAAAGATATGATAAGAGTGGGATTTGAACCCACGCCCCTTTCGAGACACGGAGACAGTTGTATACCATCGGGATCAGGTTAACCTGAACCGTGCGCCTTGGACCAACTCGGCCATCTTACCAAGTTATGGAAGATCGTAGCATCTTTGAATCTATGAAGGAAATTTATTTCACGCTAGTGTTGGTCTTTGGATTTCGGGATATGATAGCGCCCATATATCATTATTTTAAGGAGCGATAAAACACACTAGTAACTTAGTATTTAATCGACCAGGTAGCAGCTTATAGTCTTCTTCTATATATAGCGTTTCCATCCTAGAGAACCTGCAGTGCCTATATATAGCTTAAGATCTGGTGGGTCCTTCGTAAAGAGAGTCATCATTCTGATTCTAATATTCTCACTTCCCCCACCAGTTTCTGTTCATAACGCCCGATCCTCGTTTACTTCATATTTCATTTTACCTTCTTAACCTTTGCTTGGAACGCAGCCGGAATAAATGGCCGCCCACTCCGAACCCGATATCGTTTTGTACGACTTGGCCTGTACTAAGAACGTCGGCTTCTCTCCCGTTGTCTGGCGCATTCGCCTCATGCTCAACTATAAGAATATTCCTTACAAGACTGTTTTCCTCGAGTTTCCGGACATTGAACCCACGCTAAAAGAACTGTGCGTTACATTTACCCTTGTGTTTTTCATCCTTTCCAGCACTGTTTACGCGTGAGGGAATCCCCAGCTAACCCCGAATCACCAAGTGGCCTGGTTCCAGAAAATTCCGCCAAATACACTGTCCCCGCAATCCAACATGTGCCAACTAATACATACATTATGGACTCGCTCCCTATCGCGCAGTTCCTAGAGTCGATTTACCCAAACCCGCCCGTACCACTAACATCAGAACTTGGTCGGGAGATCGAGGCCAAGGCACGCGGTGTCCTTGGCAAGGCCATCTACTCGTCAGTGATGCCACGCGAGATCCGCATTTTATCACCACGCTCGCAAGAGTATTTCCGGCGCACACGCGAAGCCTCCCTCGGGCACCGTCTTGAAGATCTCCTTGACGGGGACAAAGAAGAGCGGGTCTGGAATGATGTTAGCGCCGCCATGGGCGCTGTTGGCGAGCTGATCCGGACAAACAAGGCGGACGGACCGTTTGTGCTTGGTGCGCGGCCAAGCTACACTGATTTCTTCATTGCCGGTTCCCTTCAGTCTATTAGGGTGGTTGATGAGGGCGTGTTTCAGAGGATGATCGGGTACCCTGGCTACGGGGAGGTTTATGAGGCATGTCTGCCTTACATGGGAAAGAAGGATTGATTGAATCACGGTCTAGCCTACTTTCAATGTATTGTCGGTTGGGCCAACGGTCCTTCCCTCGAGCTAGGCAGTACATACGACTATGCAGTGTTCGTCAAACAATGCCATGCTTCCCAATTTAATTATACAGGTTGGAACAAAAGGCCGCCTATGTGACTTTGATATGCATGTACAGCCTTGGATATATATATGTTGGTCTGTCGATGGTCCCACCGCATATTACCAACGGTTAAATGAAGATATTACTCAAGGATAATAAAGCAAGATAAAATTCCAGTGTTGACTTATTCTACATAAGGAATTGACAAGTAAAGCAGTATAATGAATAGCAGCATGACTGGTTCTGAAACCCCTAATTCAGTCATTGGCTCATAGACCCAAAGATGCTGCGATCTTCCATAGCTTGGTAAGATGGCCGAGTTGGTCCAAGGCGCACGGTTCAGGTTAACCTGATCCCGATGGTATACAACTGTCTCCGTGTCTCGAAAGGGGCGTGGGTTCAAATCCCACTCTTATCATATCTTTTTGTTTTTGTTCTTTTACAGGCCATAGACATGGCTTGCAATTAGATTTGCATTGTTTCATTTTCATTTTATTTGATTTGCCAGTCAGATTAGTTACAGCTTCGATTACTAGGCAGATGTATTCTAAGATAACATATAGTATACAACGGAATAACTAGGAGAATAATGTAACTAATCCAGTGATACTAGCGAGAGAGAGTCTGGCCTATAAAATCTCGGAATTAGAACAAAGTTTGATAGAATGAGGATCTGCCACGCACAACCCTAAAATGTATCAACCGCCCACTTCTACATTAAAACACCAAAAATAACTCAATTGAGCTGAGAAAAGCTTTAGATTGAGGTAGAATGAGCGAAAAACAAAAAGTAATGATAAGAGTGGGATTTGAACCCACGCCTCTTTCGAGACCAGGAAACTATTGCTAGTTGTAGAGTCAAGGTATACCTTAACCTGGCGCCTTAGACCAACTCGGCCATCTTACCAATTGATGAAAGGTCGACGAGATTATGGCTATATGAACGGAAACTTGTTTTAGCTATCATGGAGTAATAAAACCTGGAGTGTATGAATTGAAGTCAAAGTACTGGAGATTCGAGGGTAATATACAGGATAGAATGAGCATCAGGCTAGTTCTGTAGTGGACTTCGATTCGCGAAGTGATGATAATATGGGCTAAAGCAGGGCCTAGTGAAGGTCATAGGCCGCATCCATGACCGCTAACATTAGTGCTATCTTTCATTCGGAGTTCCAGCTTGATTACCCGAATAGGAAATTTAACGAAGTCCGATGCCGAAGTCCGATCCTGAGGCTTTATTTAGTAGACATTTCACGTCCTTGATTGTTTCTTATCAGTATAACTTCACCGGTTAAATAGTAAGCCTCATAGGTATTCCTAGCCAATTCGGACAAAATGACAACACCTCGTCGAAATGGACAAATGGCATCGTGCGAGCCTTGCCGGAAGTCCAAACTACGATGCGACCACCAAAGTCCCACCTGCGGTCGATGTCTCAGTCACGGCCAGGTCGAAAACTGTTTTTACCATCCTGCTCCATTGACTCAGCCGGGCGCACGCGCCCCCAGGATGATATCGCGGAAAACAAAGAGGCAACAACGCCCAGACAATCAGTTGGTTTTTCGTCTTGATCGAATCTCCAGCTCAGCAACGCCAATTCTGCCATCAGATGTACCACTGGTTACCGAGGAGGGGAATACGTTATGTGACCAGCATATCGCGCGATGGACTGCGAAGGAGAAGCGGACTCTGGCACCGGGACTTTTAGGGCTGGTCTCCGCCAAAGAGTATGAAGATACCCTGCGCGTCGAAGAACCACACAGTCTACTAGAAGCGACAATACCAACAGCTACGTATTCACCGAGCGATTCCAGTCAGGTGTTGCTAGGCGTTCAGATTCTATCACATCTGCAGAAGATCCGTTGGTTCTACGAGATCATTGAACTAAAGAACAAGATATCCCCGGGATGGTTTCTGGGTCCTCCCTTGGCTCGAGCCTTGTGTGACTCCATGGAGAAAATGTATGACAGCGCAGTCCGGAACTCTCAGGACACCCATGCATCGCTAGCCACCTTGTCCCGTCAAATATTTGTCAACACATCCAAAGATATCCGGACACATCAAACAATGAATTTGCCTGAGTATTTCGATTTAATCACAGCGAGATGGGAGACAATTGGACTTGTCTTCGCCCTATTGGGAACAGCATTATTCCATACACCTGATGATGACCCGGTCTTCACACATCGCAACCCGTGGAAACTTGCAAAGAGCAATCTCAGAAATACCGCAACCGCCATTGGAGATATTTGTTGCCAATTTTGCAATGGTGTTGGAACGACTAGCGATCCATTTTGCTGGCTCATGACCCAGCAACTAGTTCTCTTGACTTCGATGTTTGGCAACAGCGGTAATCACTCTTTAATAGTACCCACTGAAAAAGAAACGAATGACTGAAATTCGGATAGATTATAGGGTCTGGCAAAATCTCGGCGATCTATCTACCATTGTTTACGCATTTGGTTTGCATCAATCCGGTGAAGACATCGAAGAAAACTTTCCGTTCTTCTTGGTGGAGATACGAAAGCGAGTCATGGTGTGCGCATACGCAATTGATAAAGAGTTAGCGATCTCTTTGGGGCGTCCCCCACGGATCTGCTCTCGATATTGTAGTCTTCCGCTTCCGTTAGACATAAGTTATGACAAGATGGTCCTCCCACGAAGCGAAGGAGAAAAGGAAATGCAGAATCTCGACGCGCATGGTTGGAACACCGAAGGAGATCTGACCGTTGGCGTCAGGTTGCGCGTCGTGCTACTAACGAGCTTGTTACGGGAAAATATTTTAGAATTGTCTTTGAGTCCTACTACTCAACATATTGCAGCCAGAGTTGAGTTCGTATCCCATTATAGACTTTCTTATATTGATAAAGTGACTGACCAAAAGAAACCGCACAGAAAATTGATTCAGGAATCCCGCCAGATGCAAAAAGGCCTTCCCTCATTCTTGCAATGGTCCCCCGAAGAAGCTGCAGCAGGTGCTTACAGATCTGCACGAGACGAAGGCCGTGCCTTCGCTCACATAGAATTTACGTACCAGGAGTTTCTGCTACATCGGATCTTGCTCAAGCGCCTTGGGATCAACTCGCGAGGACTCATCGAAAGCTCTTTGGAAATAGTTACTACTCTATTAGACATTATTGCCATGCAGACCCAGTCTGCTCACTTGGTGGCGAATATGTCGTGGGATGTAAGTCTGCTCTGGCCCCCTCAATACTGCCATGAAACGTTTATCATAAGCTCATCATTTTCTAGTTATGCTACATTGGTCTTCCTGCAGCAGGAATCCTGACTTCGAAACTGCTCTCGGAGCATAGCCCTCAGATATCGAATCTATCACCAACCCCGTTACCTGCCAACATTCGTTCACTTGCTATCCAAAAGCTTAATCTTTTTGTCTCTCATCTGATCTTCCTGGTACAGCCGCACGAAGGGAGTTACGAGATTTCCCAACAAGGGGCGAGATTTATTCGTCGGGTGCTCGATCGAATTATTTCACTTGAATATCCCCAACTGCCCCCGGTGACTCCGGATATTGATCTGTCTGAAAGTTGGCTCGACGGTTGTGATTTGGATGGTAATCTTGATTTCATGGCGTGGCTTGACAACATCCACTGGGCGCAGGACCCTTTATTAAATTTCAACTGAGTTGATCATCCAATATATGACTTGATGGAATCATGCTTCTCGCAACACTACCTTCGGCCATTTTCAAGGTCTATTGTTTTCTTCTCTTTGAATAAACTACCGCTCATGCGGATTATTTGCATTATTTACATAGCTGTATGGGGCAGAAAAGCTGCTCTAGGAACCAAAATTGCTAAGTCATCTAATACAATCGAGCTCTGAGCTTGAGTCACGTACATACACGACATCTCGGGGAAATATAGTGAGATGCTTCGCCAAAACCCGCAAGCATGTTGTCTAGACTTTAGAATACATTTTAATTCAAACCAGATACATCGATATGATATAAGTATTTAATCGGAATGAAAGACTATACATCTCCGGAGTTCCACAATCGATATCTCCCGATTAGGCAATTGAACGGTTGCTCCGAGTTAGCCCTAAGCTACCTGCATTTATCTATCCTGGTATAAATAACTCAACGCTGTATCCCATGGAGTCAAGCAATAGTACTCCAACACAATCGGATTTACTCGGACACTGAACATACCTCGAAAAGTACCAATGGCAACGAGCTTGTGCTGGTCACTGGAAGCTGACAATCAATTTGGTCCTCGCGTCAGCATTGATTGTCGTGCCTTTGACTTTACCCTCTTATTCGAGGATATCTTTTTCACGTCGCTGCCATCTGCAGTTTTTTTATTGATTTTACCTATACGGCTTTACTTTCTCCGACACGAGTCGGTCAAGATCAATTCCTACAGATTAGTGGTCTGGAAACTAGTAGAGGTACCGCCTACATATTTGCCGACTGTGGCTGATCTCAAATAGTGCATTCTCGCCGTATTATTTGTTCTGCAGGTGCTGTTTGTGGCATTTCAAGTCCGAGAATCGGCCCTTCATACGCGGGCTTCTTTGCCTGCAGTCATACTCAACATCATAGCAACATTTGCAGCGTCATACGCCTCCTTCGCAGAGGACCAGCGATCTGTAAAACCTTCGGATATCCTAATCCTCTATTTCTCAGCGTCTAGCATTTGCAGGCTGCCCCAGCTGCGCTCATTATGGCTAATCCCATCCGTTGGAGTCTGTCGATATCTCTCGCTAGCTAGCTTCCTTTTGATGGTGGCAATGATAGCTCTTGAGTCGGTTCCAAAAACCAAGATGCTGCGTTCTAACTATTGTGGTGGTACTGATGAAGGAAATATCGGGTTTTGGAGCCGAAGCTTCTTTATTTGGGTACTGCCTTTCTTACAGATAGGGTATCGGAAAACCCTCGAGGTCGAGGACGTTCCAGAAGTTGACACGAATCTTCAAGGACAATGCTCGGGCAGCAAGCTTCGAAAGTCCTGGGATTCTTCAGGCACAACCGGTCACCATCGCCTAATCAAAGCTGTGTTTCGTGCATACGGATGGGCTTGTGTCTCCGCTATCCCACCACGCCTCGCCTACAGTTGCTTTACCTTTGCACAGCCTTTTCTTATCACGGCAACTGTGAATTATACTGGAGGCTCATTAGGTTCAGAGCCTAAGATTTACGGAACTGGACTCATTGGCGCGTATTTTCTGGTATATCTGGGATTAGCGGTAGGTACTCATTCAGTATTGCCGATGAAGTATGTTTCTAACGGCCACAAAAGGTTTCGAAAGCCGCATACTGGCGTCAGACGTACTGTCTACTCACTATGATGCGGTCTGGTCTTATATCTATGATCTATGACCAGACTATCGACATGACTGCGGCTGATTTGACTAATTCCGCAGCTATCACATTGATGGGCACCGATGTCGAACGAATAGTGGCTAACTTGAAGAACCTGCATGAGGCCTGGGCATCTGTCATAGAATTGGGAATTGCGATTTGGTTGTTGGAGCGCGAGATCGGAGTTGCCTGCTTTATACCCTCGTCATCACAATGGGTAAGAGATTCATCATCTGATTTCAACAGATATATTTCAAGAACAACTGCTGAAAAGATCTATTACTAGGTTCCGTGTTAGCAATGGTCCCAGTATCGAGCCGATCTGGACAGGCGCAAAAGCAATGGATTGAGCGAGTACAAAAGCGACTTGCAGTGACAGCAAACACGTTAGAAAACATGAAGGCTGTGCAAATGCTCGGGCTGGGCGATGTTATTTTACCGCTGGTGTCACATCTTCGTGAAATCGAAGTGAAAACTTCAGTTAATTTCCGAAAGTTGCTGATATGGCAGGTTGCGCTCTGTAAGTATCCGAGACAGATGAGATGACCACCAGGATATAAACTGATATTGAACATTGAATCTAGCCAACTTGCCCGTTGTATTCGCTCCCTTCGCTACGTTTACACTTTACACGATAATATCTGTTGTACGACACGATGAGTCAATCCTCTCTGCCCAGGCATTCACATCCCTCGCTCTGATTTCTCTTCTCACAAATCCCCTGCTCATACTTTGCCAAGCCATGCCAGCAATATGGCAGGCTATCGCTTGCTTTGACCGGATCGAAGAATATTGTGGGGAGCGCACCTCTTCATCCACAAAATCCGAAGAGGAGGTTAAGCCATTGCCGACATCTGAGAAACTCTATCCATTCTTGATCTCATTCCAGAATGCAAGCATATCATGGTCCTCGAAGAAAGAGCCGATGCTTCGTGATCTGAGTATTGATATTCATCGGGGCATCACTATGGTGGTCGGTCCCGTTGGATGCGGGAAGTCAACTCTGATTGAGAGCATCCTCCATCAGCACATGGTTAAAAATGGCTCCAGAATAGCCTCATTCTCAAGAGCTGCATATTGTCCACAGATCCCGTGGATTAGTAACGACACCATTCGGAACAATATCATCGGATTTCTGGAATTTGATAAAACATGGTATGATATCACATGCGCGGCGTGTGGTCTGCAAGAGGACCTCGACGCTCTTGCAGAAGGTGACATGCATCTGGCTGGAAGCGGCGGCATCTCGCTTAGTGGAGGCCAAAAGCAGCGAATTGTGAGTCGTTACGCATAACATGCAACTATCTTTGCATGTACTGATAAATCCTCTTTTTATATGTAGGCGCTCGCCCGAGCAGTCTACTCTAGGCTTGACGTTGTCATTCTGGATAATGTATTCAGCGGACTCGACTCGACCAGTATTGCTCTCATTACGAATCGGCTTTTCCGCAAAGACGGCCACTTTAAAAGACTGGGGATATCGGTTATTCTCGCCATGAGTACCTGTATGTCTTGAGATGACTTGAGGGCAAATAATAATTACTGCAACGCAGTCAAGAAACAGTGCTAATATAACAGATAGATCAGTTGCTTCTCCATGCGGATCAAATCCTGATGATGGATGAGAGAAAAATCACAGCATCAGGGTCATACAATGAGATGCTATTGAAGGAACCAAAAATTGTCTCACATGTTCAGAAGCCAACGTTTGATCTTCCTATTGCAACGGTCGAGAGGTCAAATCCTGACCTCACCGTTGTCAAAAAGAAAGATGGCACCAGGATCGCTATGCAAACAGCCGACGATGAAAATACCACTCTTAAACATCAGGAAAATTGGTCTGTGTACACATACTACTTTCGGAGCGCAGGATACGGCCTTTTGGTCTCGTTTTTGGCGTTCACTCTCATTGAGGCTTTCTGCTCCAGCTTTCAAGGTCTGTTCTGTTTGATCCCCATTGACTAGAAGGAAATCTAACTTCTTCTAGCATTATGGATTCAATGGTGGGTTGAGGCAAATGAAGAGCAACCTAACAAGCAATTGGGAATGTATCTTGGTGTTTATGGCTTGATATTTGGATTGACATTTTTGAGCCTCGTCGCTGGCTGCTGGTACGTGTTTTAGTCCTTTTCTTTTTGCGGAGCTGACTGAGGGTCCTAGGTTGCTCTTCGTTCGAGCCCTTAATAATACTTCGTTGAATTTGCATTCAGACCTTCTCAAAACAGCGCTTAGGTGGGCGATAACGGTCTAGCATCCATATTTTGGCATACTGATTTTCTACCGCAGGGCATCGATCAGCTTCTACCAAAGTGTAGATACCGGTTCAATAACGAATAGGTATTGCTATTCAGATCTATGCCTACACTGTTCCTGTTTCTAATTTATCTGAAACAGATTCAGCCAAGATTTGGAACTTATTGATATGATGCTACCGATATACGCTGTCAATTGCGTGACTAGTACGAACCTTTCCCCAATATAAAGCTAGAGCTAACCCACTCGGCAGATTTCGTTAATGTTTTCATCAACATTCTTATTATCTGTGTTATGGGTAGATACTTGGCAGTCTCAATCCCATTCTTAGGGGTGGTTCTATTCTTCATTCAGTCATATTACCTACAAACTTCCCGACAGGTCCGATTGCTAGATATTGAGGCCAAGGCGCCTCTCTACACACACTTTCTCGAGACAATCCACGGCATATCAAGCATCAAAGCCTACAACTGGGGGCCCCGGATGCGAGAGGAAAGCCACTCTCTACTAAACCGATCGCAGCGACCAGTCTACATGCTTTACAGTATCCAACAATGGCTGGTTCTGGTTTTGGATCTGGTTGTAGGGGCCGTCGCAGTCATTTTGATTGCCATGGTTACATGCTTGAGAGATCAATTCAATGGAGCATCCATTGGGGTTGCACTCAACATTCTACTGACACTGAATCAAACTTTGGCGAATGCTCTCAAGATATGGACCATGACTGAAATCTCTATCGGGGCTGTATCACGTGTACAACGCTTTATACAGGATACTCCCTCGGAAAAACATCGCGCGGCATCTCCAATTGCTCCTCAGTTACCGCATGACTGGCCTTGCGGTGGTGCCGTGGAGTTCGCAGCCGTGACTGCTGGATATGAGTATGTATTATCTCGCTTCAGAAGAAGTAATTCTTGTTATATACCCAAAGCTAAGTCAAACACAGCCAATCGACGCCTCGGATCCTCAAAAGTGTTACAATGACCATCAAGCCGGGAGAGAAGATTGCCGTCTGTGGAGCATCCGGGAGTGGAAAGACATCACTTCTCATGGCAATGCTTCATATGCTTGATATTCAGTCAGGAAGCATCAGCATAGACGGCGAGGATCTCGCGGGGATCCCGCGGAGCACAATCCGCTCGCGCATCAACGTTGTCCCACAAGATCCATTTTTCATGCCAGGCACCCTCCGGTTCAATCTTGATCCTCGCCAGTGCGTGATAGACGCAGAACTAATCCGTGCCGTCGAGAAGGTGGGCCTTTGGGATCGAGTTCACATCGAAGGGGGGTTGGATATGGAGTTCTCAGCTGCGGACTGGTCGGTTGGGCAGAAGCAATTGCTTGCTTTGTCTCGGGCCCTTGTAAAGAAGGGTCCTCTGTTAATCTTAGATGAGGCTACAAGCAGGTAATGTCCAAGATTGTTCTGACGATCTATGAATTCTCTACGTTTTAATTTGGATACAAACTAACGATTCTCCTCTGCTAGCGTCGACTGGGAAACGGAGGCGATCATGCAGGATATTATTGAGAAGGAATTTTCTGAGCAAACCATCATTTCGGTGGTGCATCGGCTTCGATATATTCATTGGTTCGACCGGGTGATGTTGCTCAAGCATGGCGAACTTGTTGAGTGCGATACAGCCGAAGCGTTGCTGCAGAGAGATTCGGACTTGCGAAAGCTATATCTGGCTTCCCAAGACCCGTACAGGGGGTGATTTTTAGGTCTCGTTGGCAAATGCAGTCTATCCTGCAACAAAGCGAAGTATGTCTCTGATCGCTGCCCTTTCTTCGGGGTTATCGGCGCTGGCTAGCGCGGATTGCGCGTAGGTTGGCAGTACGGGTGGACATACAGTTCTACCGCATAAGTTTCCGCGGAAATTTCTCTATACCGCCTTTGCGCAATTACACCCACTATCTTCAATGATTGAACATTGCTTCTAAAGGGTGATATATAGAATATTAAAATTTACATTTAAATACGTTGGCTATTTAGCTATTACGATCATATTTTTATATATTTTTCTCATTAGAGATGGATGTCTAGTTAATGTTTTAAGTATGTGGGTTGAAATATATATTCTGGCGATGGGGCTGGTCCGCGGAAACTTTTGCGGTCCGACTGTACTTATTGAAGCAGTTGTTAAGAGCAGTTGTTGTTGAAGTAGTTGCTGAAGTAGTTGTTGAAGCAGTCGTTGAAGCAGTTTTTGACGATGAAGTAAAGTAGTTAACGTGATAAAATTCAATGGGTTTCCTTAAGAGGCCATCCACAGTATATTATCTATAGCTTAAATCCTATCTTATAGATTGCATCTCATAATCCTCCTCTTCCTCCACTTTCAACTTTTGCGGTTGGCGAATAATCAGACATTGCGAGTGCTGGCTATCCTGCGAGTCCGACTGCCGGGAAATAGGCATATCAACATCGTCCCCCTCTTCTCGGTTTATTGAGCAGGCATGAGATTGGTTACTCGATGCACTATTCCCAGTTGGTGTGAAATACGAATTCTGGCCCTTGCTGTTTGTGACGCCCTGCCCCCATCCTGTGTTGAATGAAATAACAAACGGCTTCAGGCATGGCACAGTGGAAACCATAATGCTGCAGTGGAGGAGAACGGCGGTCGCGATGGTTGAATCCGATAGATGCAGAGGCGCGTCGGTATGGAAAAGCGAGCGGTTGAGATAGGTCTGGCGGAGTATAATCAAGATGATAAGCCTAAATATCTCAGAAACATGATTAGCCATTGTAGTTCTTCTCCATTGCCTTCATCTTTGTGGCATCAGAACTCACGGGGCCCTCGTCCCAAACGCAAAAACCACCTCCCACTTTTGCTTCCACCGCATCTGAACCCCCCATACTAGTGAAATACACAGTCCAAAGGCAAGAATATCCGTAATCACATCAAAAGCAGTGATGATTTTCCAAGCAATCGCCTGCTCTCACTTGTCAGTTGTGTTGCTCCATGTGAGCAAGTATAACTTACAAAATTATTACAATGTTGGGCCATGGTGAATTGGTATCGTGGAAAGCAACTCAGAGCAACAGCAACAATCGAAGCAGACATCCATGCCGTCACTATGCCCAGAAGAATATTGGAACAGAGCAAGTATCTCTTTTTCTGGCCCAGTTGTTTGAGAAGTAAACATATGGAAATCTTGGCCGCGCCGTGCCCAGCAAGAAATAGGAGATTCGCTGCATAAACGCCCTGAATCGATATTTGTTAGTTCCTTTTTCTTCTTTTATTTCAAGCAGCTTTGAAGGCCGAGCTTGGATGTTCAAGGAAGAGGGAGGGCGACCTTTCCAGCGCGTATCAAGTTCGACGGAGAGCTTTCGCCCTCAGATCGGCCTAGACCATGAGAAACTGCATCCATAATGCTTCCGACATGTGCAATGGCCATTATCTAGCAAGTACCCGAACAGCCTTAGAGACATGTCGGCAGAATTTAAGGGGTGATGAGATTGGGAAAAAAAAGGGAAGGGTGAGGGAGGGAATAATATAGACTTACACTTCCGGTAAACACTACGACATCATCAAGCTTAACTGGTCCATTGACCGCGAGACGCATGTATAGTCGGACCAGACTCACTATGATCATCCACGTCATAAACAGTGTTTCAACGATGACAATCAAGCCACTTCGATTCGTGATGGAGACTGCATAGGGGGAGACGGACTCCATGGGGGTGTTCAAGGTAGGCGAGATGCCACGACAAGAAAGCAGAGATTTTGCGATGGGTCATAGTTATAACTTTTGAGAAATACTGGGGCCATATTTGCCGCGAATGAATCCGATGATTAAATGAGCGACAGGGGTCCTGATAGACTTGATATATTGTACATGCAATCATCTCCCGTAACAAGTGTTTGTAAGATGCATATTCGAACCCTATATAAATTATTTTAATTACCTTTGAAGAGCAGCTGGTCACAGCGAATTAATTAATTTAAGAGTTAATAAATTATAGCATATCTTAGCCTCTCAGACCCGAACTCGATTCTCGAGAAAAGCCTGATCTCAAGTAATTATCGCTCTCCCAGTGAGATTAGTATGCAAAGGATATATATAGTAATGGGCTAATGGGTTGATCTGAATTCAGAAAAACTAGTATGTAAAGATCTAAACTAGGTAATAAAAAATAATGTATTCAGCACAAAGTACGGAGTACTCCGTACAGCCTGGACCCATGTAGGTGCGAAAATTAGCACTAGCTTGGTGGACCTTACGGAACGCACAGAGCCAATCTCGGAGGAATTGCGGGTTAGTATAACGATGCACCCAATCAGATGATCCTAATATAGTGCATATATATAACGTAGCTGGGATTGTGATCCTGAATGGGGCCAGATTTCGGCGGGACGGCTCAAGGCAGACCGCGGGTGGTACTTGTGCTTAAAAAGCCCCACCCAAGCCCGAAGGAAGAAAGATTTTCTCCTTGAACTAATTAATCACGCAAAAGAGCTTAGTTTACGGAGTAGCCCTAGTACAAATACAGCTCGTGGGTCGGGATGGAGTATGTACTATGTTGTATGTGGTGTTTGACCGTGCCCTAATGCATCGTACTTCGGCCGCTGCCAACCACAACCCTTGCTTGTTGACCAGGGTTCGCGAGATACAATATAGAAAATATTATTACTACACTAGCTTTTTTTCACGTCTCATTATCTGCCCCTGCACGTACGTTGTAGTAATTTATTTTTCCAACCGAAAAGCACTATTACATTCTCGCCTTAGTTGCACTATCATTGAAACCATATTCTCAATTCCTTTATCTACTTCCTGGAGCTCTTTCTTTCCTCCATTTTACTGATATCTTCTTCAGACCCGGTTCATTTATTCCCCCCCTTATTAATCCGCCATGGGGCGCGAGAACGGAATCATGTTGAAAGTTCAACACTCCACGCCGGAGACCTCCTCCCTGGACCTCCCCTCCCAGAAGGCAGGCACAGTGCAGGACAAACAAGACATGTGGCGTGCCGGGCGAGATCAGGAACTAAACGTAGGTAACTTTATTCAACCTTTTTGAGTCCTCCTTTTCAAATCACCAAAATCAGAGAAAAAGAAGAATGAAAAAAATGACACGTCCTGCAGAGAAATTTCCGGTTTCTTTCGGTTCTTGGGTTTACGGCTGTGCTTATGTGCACATGGGAAGCAGTTCTCTTGTAGGTCTCTCTGAGTAAATTGATCAATGTCTTGACTAGGATAATCGACTTCATATATTGGATCTGTGCTGACCTATTGAATTAGTGGTTCATCTTATGGGCTAACTAATGGCGGCAAAGGGGGTATGATTTATACTTATCTCGGGGGTCTGGCAGGGTTCAGCTTTGTGATCCTCTCAATGGCTGAAATGGCTTCCATGTATGCATATCACATTACTTGTCTCGGCGATGAGATTGCTAACCTTTATTTCCTCTTTAGGGCCCCATTGTCCGGCGGCCAGTATCATTGGGTATCAGAATTCGCACCCCCTAGTTCCCAGGCCCTATTAAGTTACATCACTGGGTGGATTTGCGTGTTGGGCTGGCACACCGGTATCGCAGGATGCTGCTATACAGTCGCCAACATGATGGTCGGTGTGATTGCCATAAATTACCCTGCCACGTATACCTATGAGCCATGGCATGTCACACTCCTAGTCATTGCGGTAGCCCTGGTAGCCTTGATGTTTAACACATTCCTGGCCCAGAAGCTCCCCTTGATCGAAGGTATTATCCTGATTGTGCATTGCTTCGGTTTCTTTGGAATCTTGATCCCACTTTGGGTGTTGTCCCCCAAAGTTCCTGCTTCCGAGGTATTTGGTTCAATAGAGGACCGGGGTGGTTGGGGTAACAACGGACTCTCCTGTATGGCGGGGCTGGTTGGTCCCATCTATGCATTGATTGGTATGTCCGCGCGCTGATGGATCCTATTTTGGCTATTGCTAACGACATATGCGGAAAAGGCCCCGACTCAGCGGTTCATATGGGTATGCATCCTGTTATTCACCGATCTATGTGGGGGAAATGACTAATACCAGAGTACAGCGGAGGAAATTCGAGATGCATCCCGGGTGCTCCCCATGGGCATGGTCTGGACACTTATCCTCAACGGGTCCACCGGCTTGGTGATGATAATCACATTTGCATTCTGCGTGGGCGACATTGATGCAGTACTTGCATCTGAAACAGGCTTTCCATTCATCCAGGTCTTCCTCAATGCCACAGGATCAGTCAGCGCTGCAACAGGCATGACAGTAGTGATCATGATCATGCAATTTTGCGCGGCAATCAGTAATGTCGCCACAACCTCCCGGCAGATCTACTCTTTTGCTCGAGACAAGGGTCTCCCTTTTTCCAATTTCTTGGCCCAGGTAAGTTCTTCGACACGGCCCCCATCCGTTGCCCTAACTAAAATGGGGGATAACAGGTTAACCCAACCTTCACCGTTCCACTGAATGCTCTTTGCGTCAGTCTCGTTATCGTCTCTCTCCTCTCCATAATCAACATTGGGTCTTCTGTGGCTTTCAATGCCATTATGTCCCTCGGCACAGCTGCCCTTCTGTCCTCCTACATAATTTCCATCACTTGCGTTCGTCTTCGACGCTGGCGCAACCTGCCCCTACCACCAGCACGCTGGAGCATGGGAAAGTTCACCCCCATATGTGACACCATTTCCATCATGGTATTGCTAGTGATATGGATCTTTAGTTTCTTCCCCTTGACCAAGGATGTGGACCCGACTACTATGAATTGGAGCGTGGCCATCTTTGGGGGTGTTGTTGTGGTATCACTCGGTTATTATGTGATTTATGCCCGGAGAGTCTACAAAGGCCCAGTGATACGGGTGAGGATGATGCAGCGATGATTAGTCATCAGGTGTATGTAACTAGTATTCACTTTCACGTGCCGCCAAAAGGCGGTGTGGACATGACCGCCCTGGTACTCGGCAGAATTCCCATCGAAAGGCCTGAGCCAACTGGAGATCGACCTGATTGAGCCATCGGCCGATTCACAGTTCAGTATGGAGCAATCGTGTATCCACTTAGAATTCTAGCCATTCCTTGTTTTCTGCTACTCTGCCGTCTCTAAAAACTAGGCTGCCCTGTCCGGATGAAAATTATCAGAATTCACTATTCACATACATCTCATGTCACCGTCAGAGCCGCAAGCCGGACCACCCAAGTTCAAACTAGCACAAGAGAGGGAACTATACAAGTATGTATGTGGGCAGGTTTCCGCTATCCCCGAGTGTGCCGGATCGCAAACTAAGACCCTATATTAAAAAAAAAGATATCTTAAACCCAACGAAGTTTTCCAACCTGGCCCAGGCGCGAGATATGAGGATGCACAGAATCAACGTACTACATATATTCCACGCTTGTCGCCAGACACAGCTTTGACGGCCTTCGCCCAATTAGGAGTTTTAAGGTTCAAGGCTCAACGTGCCTTGATCTCACTCTTCGGTCGCGACCAACATTACATCCTCTCAGAGGCCACTCAAACACTCAGTCTTCAGGATCATACAGTGGAAAATGATCGAGATGCCTTGTGGTTGGGTTGCTGCGTGGTTCCCAAGGGGGATGGAATCTGTCAACAAGTCGCTTCCTTACCGCAACTCAAACCAGAGGAAGATAAACACGTGGTAGAGGGTATATACGTGGTACCTGACCTGCGCAAGGATGACCGGTTTAACCAGTTGGACATGGTCATCGGCTCTCCCAAAGCAAGATTCTACGCAGGCGCCCCCATCATCAGTCCTAAAGGGATCACCATCGGATCCTACTGTATTATCGATGACGAGCCACGATCCGGATTGGACGCCCCGTTGATAAAGTTCCTACAAAATATGGCATCGACCGTCATGGCCCACTTGGACATGGCCCGATCCACAACGGAACATCATCGTGCAGAGAGAATGATTGTGGGGTTCGGAAGTTTTATGGAAGGTAAGGCGACGCTGCGCAATGAGTGGGTACAGGACACTGGACTACGCCTGAATGAACAGCAACATAACGAAGGCCACCTGAATATACTGCAACAAAATGTACAAATCAAATCTGGTCTTCTCACAACCGTCCACACTCGCCCGTCGTCCTCCCCGCTGCAGCCAAAAGCATCTTCACAGAATGGTTCTGAGCGAGTTATATCATCGAATTTATCCAGTGGACCATCGCCGAGCCTCTCCCCAGGACCATCCTCCTCGTCGTCAACGACCCTGTCCGACAAGGATTCAAACGCCAGTTTTGACCAGATGTCAACTCTCAACAAATCCGAAACACAAAGTAGTTTCTCCGTTCGAAGCACGTCGACCGAGAATCTACAAGCTGACATGCTGTCTATCGGGGTTCGACAAGTATTTTCACGAGCAGCTAACATCATCCGCGAGTCGATTCAAGTCGAAGGCGTCGCGTTCTTCGATGCCAGCATCGGGTCGTATGGTGGTCTCGTCAACGATACGAAGCGAAAGGGGCCAGGCTCCGACAGCGGTACTTTGGAAAGCTCCATGGACAGCAGCGATGATAGCACCGAATCTGATTCCCAGAAAAGCTCTACCGCATCCGCCAAGAAGGACAGCCCACCAGAGAATACGACCTTATGTGAAATCCTAGGCTTCTCGACTTCCACTACATCCAGTATCAATGACGAATCAAAAGGAAGACTTGCTCTCCGGGAAGTATTGTTGAAGACGCTTCTGCGGCGTTACCCGCATGGCAAAATTTTCAATTTCAGTGAAGAAGGATCGATGTCCTCGGACGAAAGCAGTGATGGACCCTGGGATAGCTCGTTGAACCGTGGGAGTTCAAATACGACCAACATCGACCTCACTGGTGAAAGAGCAACAGGAAGTCGGAAAAAGACGCGTAGTGCCACGCTCAAGGAGGACGGAATTGTTCTCATTCGACTCTTCCCGGGAGCCCGCAGTATTGCTCTCCTTCCGATGTGGGATTCTCACCGAGCTCGATGGTTCTCGGGTGCTCTGGTGTGGACGAACACACCTCGACGCGTCTTCACATCTGAGACTGAGCTCACATATCTGTCGGCCTTTGGAAATAGTATCATGGCGGAGGTGCATCGTCTGGATGTCGAGATGTCGGAGAAGGCGAAAACAAATTTGGTCAGCAGTATCTCACACGAGTTACGAAGCCCTCTCCATGGCATTCTTGGTACGTCAGAAATACTCCGAGACACGGCGATGGACGCGCTTCAGCACGGATTAGTGCACACGATTGAATCTTGTGGGCGGACGTTGCTGGACACGATCAATCACTTGCTGGACTTTTCGAAGATAAACAATTTCCGGAAGGAAGGGGGTAACAAAGCTCTCCACAGACGGAAAAGCCCTCTTAGGCGACACAAAAACACGGACCCATCGCCTTATAGTAAGAAGCCTCCACAACGGACACGGCATAGTGGCATGATCAGTTTGAAGTCTGATATTCAGCTGGATTCCGTTCTGGAAGAGGTGATGGAAAGTGTCTTCGCAGGCTACAGTTTCTACCACAGCCCACAAAGGTCAACGACGATAGACCGTCCTATTACCATGGAACTTGACGTATTAGGGTCCGACCAGCAAGCGAGTCAGGTCAGCGTCATCCTGGATATCGACGAAGCTGCTGAATGGAGATTCTCCACCCAAATAGGCGCCTGGCGCCGCATCATGATGAACATTTTCGGCAACTCCCTGAAATACACCAAGGCTGGCTTTATATTGGTGAAATTAACGTCATCACCTGTCACTCATGCCAAAGATGCCGTGCCCGGAGGACCTTCTGATTTCAAGGTGACCCTGCTGGTCAAGGACACGGGTATCGGGATGAGCATGGAGTATCTGCAGAATAACTTATTCACTCCATTTACACAAGAAGACTCGCTTGCCCCCGGAAATGGACTCGGGCTCAGCATTGTTCACCATGCGGTTCTGTCTATGGGTGGTCATATCGAAGTTAGTTCACTCCGGGGTCGTGGTACTGAAGTCTCGATTGAAGTCATTCTTACCCACATACCCGCTCAAAAAGCCAACTTGAGTCCCTCCAAACCTGAGCTCATTTTAAGAATCAAAGACTTTACACGTGGCACGACCCTAGGACTTCTGGAGCTGGGATCGTCTGACATCCACGATCGCGATACAATTCTCTCTACCTCTTTAGAGAAATTGTGCAAGAACTGGTTCGAGATGGATGTCCATATCCTGACTCCGTCGGACACTTCTCCCCCCCTCATACGACTTTTATGTTGCGGTGCAGACCGATACCGACTCGGTGAATACCTGGGAATCGTGGTTGTCAAAAACTCGGGATGGCAATATTAGGAGTCGAATGGTTTCAATTGTGGTGATTTGTCAGTCGCCAGAGGCAGCACATCTCATGTCTGTTGCAGCAAACCAATCGAACCACGAGGCTATCGTCGAATTTATCAGCCAGCCCTGTGGCCCGCGGAAGTTGGCCAAGGCATTTAACATTTGCATCAAGCGACAACAAGGTCAGGAATCTCTGATTGGGAATGACTCTGATATAGATCAACCCCAAGAGAAGAATGTGTTTCAGTTGAAGAAGTCACCTCCGGTTTCCAGGGAGGATATCGACGCACAACGTGCTGGAGATGAAAGGGATTTCCAAAAGCATCAGGCAGGAAAACAGGCGATAAATGATGAATATCGCAAGTTGGAGGAAATGGGAGACTCATGGCAACATAAAGACACTCCTCTTCCTCACACTGAAAGTGATGCCATTACTTTGCCAATTCGACATAGATTGCCCGGGAAAGAGGAGCCGACGTTGACAGTCTTGTTGGTTGAAGACAATGATATCAATCTGCAGATATTGGTTGCACATATGAAGAAAGAAGGATACAGGTACACAATTGCCCGCAATGGTTTGGAGGCGTCGAACGCTTTCAAAGCCCATCCTAGAAAGTTCGGAGTGGTCCTAATGGGTAAGTTGGTCTCCTTCTTCTAAATGAAGCACTGTTCTGACAAGCACAGATATCTCTATGCCTGTAATGAACGGATTCGAATCTGCTCGCCTTATTCGCAAGGCTGAGCAAGAATATCAAAACACGCTCGATGTTTCAACGAAAGGATCATTTAGACCTGCGACTATTGTCGCTATGACCGGCCTTGCAAGTGCTAGTGCTCAACATGAAGCGTATGGGTCAGGAATGGACCTCTTTTTAACGAAACCAATCAAACGAAAAGATTTATTCGCGGTATTGAAGGAAAGAAGCCCGGTCGAGGCCAAAAGTCCCTCTCAATGATAAAACACATTAATGACGGTCATGTTTCATCTTTGATGTCAAGTATATATACGATTTTACTTGTTTTGTGTTTGTGCTTCTTTCAACTCTACCATTTTGTCAAGATTAAAGATTAGCACTAGTCATTCAAGTGTCTTAATTTCTGTCTTTCATATTCAATTAATACCGACTTGATGAGAACTTTGTCTAGTTCTATATTGAGGTAGTCAAGCTAGAAACAGAATAGTCGGCCGCAAAAGTCCGGCCCACCTTGCCATGAAGCAAAAGGTATTTTTTGAAGATGTGTAGCCTTGGAAAATGGCAGAGAACCGCCGAGGGCAAGGAAGTCACCAATCGGAGATCCATCGGACCTTAGGGCGGGGTTTGGCGGATTTGACGACCTGTCTTGTTTCACCGTCTATCTTCTCTCGCTCTTCGCATTGACCTTCGTGTTGAGCTCAGCTTCCAACTTGCGGTTCCAAACCCTTGAGACTAGAATGGGAACATTTGGGGGCCAGGTTGATTGAGAGATGCCCTTTTTCGGATTCTACTCTTCTCTGCCGCAATTATCCCTATAGCGAGAGTACGGAGTAGAACTGCCAACTAGTAGCCCCTCGCGCTAGATAGAATATGGCTAGACGTAACTATATATTACACCATATCTACCTGCAATGATTGATGCTAGGCTTACAGTCTGTTATGACCTAGCGGATCGGTCAACCTTGAGCCCCTCATACCCTTCCCCACCATTCAAGCCTCATAAAATAGTCAAATCTCCTATTTAACTTGGGGGTCATGACTAGAGAGGCTAGCCTTATATAATATCAGTCGTGGACCCTTGATTTTCAGGTATTCATTATGAGTATTCGGCTGCTGGTCTATTCAGGGCTGTGTACGTTGTTAGGCGGAATCCTTTGGGACTTTGTTTGTCATGATAGCCTGTCTGGAGGATCCCTGAAACCTATCCATGCACCACTAGCAAGGGTTTCGTACTATTCGGGCAGGAGTTAATGAGCCTACCTACCGCCTCTTTCTTTTTCCTCTTCTCCTTCCTCTTACATTATCAGAGTCACAACTTGAAACTATGTCTTTCTTGCCTTAAGCCCAGAGATAATGGATGGTCAGCAAGATGCTAAGGCTGCCATTGAAGCCCTACAGCGAAGAAGACTTCAAAACCGCATTGCTCAGAGAAACCGTCGTAAGCCATCAAGATCCCTACATTGCAAGCCTCGTGTGAGCTGGCATTCCCTAATCCTATGCTTCCTATGGTAAACGTCAAGCAGAGGTTCAGCAACAGCGAGTGAAAGAGCTAGAAAAACAAACGAAGGGGAGCCAGCAGCAAAAGAATGGCAATGCCTGTCCTTCTGATAATAATCAGTTTGAGCGGAATATACCGGCTCTTGCCTGTTTTGAATCAGACTTACCCCAATCTGAAGCTGTGGATTGCGGGAATTACGCTGCCATTCAACTCGAGAAGTTGCCGGAGCAAAAAGAGAGTCCTGGCATTGCAAGTTCGATTCAGAGACTAAATGACTTCAATATCTTCGATGCCATAATGGAAGAAATGCCGACTTTTGCACTGGACCCCGAACCCGGAATTTGCTCTTTGTCCGCTCATTGTCGAGCCATCCAAAGATCTAGAGACACATCGAAAAAGGACACCAGAGGAGACTCTGCAACATCCCAGGCAATTTCAGCAGCAGAAGTCTACTGTGAGCCGAAACTCTCTTGCGGCGATGGCCCTATCCACTGAAAAGATGATTGAAACCAATACGTCCACTACACGGTCGCCGACGTTGCCATAGGAGACTCCTGAGAGCCCACGAGGTGTTTATCTCGCCGAGAAAAGGGGAAAACAGCACTGCACATCAGTGTCGAGCGTGGCAGTGTGGAAATTGTAAGTTTCCTGTTACTGTACGGGGTTGACGTTAATAGGTAGGACGATTCGGGACGTACAGCACTACACTACGCAGCACGCGGATCACATATCAACATCGTTGCAGAGTTACTCATCGCGGGCGCAGACCTAGAAGCTCGAGACAATGAGGGTAGGAGCCCGCTACATGCCGCGGCTGATGCCGAGTGTGAGCCAATGATACGGTTGCTAGTGCAAGCGGGCGCGGACCTAAATGCAGTCACAGGCATTAGCAGTATCGAGGAGGGGAATGATATTTGTTAATGGATTGAGCCGATGAATGTGATGTTCATAATTAATGATTTCGTAATTTGCCTTTAGGTTAACTTCACGATTAAACTTATTTTAAACTAAATGGATCAACAATGAAAGCTTAATTACGGAGTATTGCAATAACAGAACACCCTTAATCACGATCTAGTATCACTTGCTTCGTATTTTTCACCGGAATTTACCAGGGTTCAAGAAGTACAGTCAATCAATAGTATTGCAATCTAACAGAGAACTTGAGGAGAAAGAACATAGGTAGCATCGCACAACAAAGTCCCATGATCCAGCCGCCAACGTATTCCTAAATCTCGACCTTCAGATCAGCCACCATTTCCTCATTAAGCCTCGCCTCCTCTTCCTGGTAAATGCCAAACTTGCTTCTACCCATGCTATTGACAAGTTCACGGATTTCGGTGACTAGCGCCTCAGCCTCGGCTAGTCGTGGGGGACCCTGGCCTCATAAGGCTCTTGCGATAATCCTGCGAGCGTTGATAGCTTGCGGGGAGGTTTTGCCAATGTGTGGACGAGCATCGATCCACTCACAAACTGGCCGCGCAATCTCCTCCGCTTCCTTATATTTCCCAGCCTTGACAAGGTGCTCCGCCAGCATATAGGGAGGGACAATGTTCGACTCGTCCGGCCTTTTCTCCACTAGCATGCGGACGGTTTCCTCAGCCTGCGGGTGGCCCAATTCATTCTCCAGTGTATAGATCCCCTGCCACAATGCATACCACCGTTTGTAATCGACTTCATAGAGTGACTGAGGCGGCGAAGTGGCCGCTTCTTCTTTTGCCAGCTTATTCTGGAGCAGTTGAAGGAGAAGCTGGAGCTTTTCTTGCTGGTCGGCGGTGTTGTCGGGGTATATTCCTACCGAGTCAACGGTTAGCTGTTCCAGTTCGGAATCTGAAAAGTTTCCCAGAAAGTTGCGGGCAGTGCTGTTTACTGGTACAGGTGCCTCCCATGAGAACGACTTAGCCGCCTCGGCGGTGGTGATCTCGCCGGTTGAGTACCGGAAAGATGAAATGGCTGTCATTCTTGAGATGGAAACAAGGCAATAGGGAAGAAAGGATTTTATTCAAAGGAATTGGCTGAAAATGAAGATAAAGATGGCTGGATCTTCCAAATGGCGTTCTATTCACTTATACACAATTTTAGGGAGGTCGAAGACGAGGGGCTTGCAGCTTCTTGTCAGACAAAGAAACGTATTTACGCTAGTTTTCCTTGAATCGTCCAATAGGAAGGAGAAAAAAAGGTGAAATTGAGTGCTGACTAGACGCAATGAGGAGCAGATAACTAAATAACAGCATTACAAGCAATAAGCTGACTGAAAAATGGGTAGATGACATGATGGCTAGTGTGCTGACGCGCTAACATACACCTGGGCAATAGCAACTCCGAGCCGTGTGGACGACCTAAACAGATATTCTTTTTAGTTTCTTTTTTGAAAGTAATTTGGATTATCTCGTTTCTCGATAGATATTTACATATGGCTATGTATCCATTCGTCCTCCGCTAGCTCCTTAGCGGAGCTACGCTTGCTAGGCTCCCACTGTAGCATTTTGCGCATGAAACGTAGAAAGGCCTCTCGATCTTCCATTTTCCCATCGAGAGTAGTTTCCCTCTCCTCGAGCGGAACCCGATCCGTCAATAAATCCGGAGTGAGGAAATCACCTAGAGTCAGCTTGTTAGCGGGGTTAGACGTACTGTAAGAATAAGAAACTTGCTTGCCTTCGCTTGAGAAGAATTCGTCTCTTAGCTCCCCCGTAAGAAGGCTAGGAGGTGGGGAACCAAGAAGACTGATCATCTCAGCAAGATGTGCTCGACTCCGGTACCTCTCAAATTCGGGATCTTCGCCCGTAAACAAGGACCCGCCTTCGTAGATATCCCAAATCTATACCTATTAGAGATGTTCGCACCATAATCAGGCTGTTTCTCTCACCATGCATCCCACATTCCATATATCGGCGCTATACGTCCATGGAACACCTAAAATCACTTCCGGTGCTCGATAAATCTTAGGCTGAATGAATACCGAGTGGTATTTGTTGCTAGTACCGAGTATGGCCGAACCAAAATCGCAAAGGACCGGAGCGCCGACTTGTTTAGGTATTTTGAGTTCCTGGGACATGTAGATTGTTCTTCCGTCTGCGTCTACCTCTTTCCTCGGAACGGGTCGTTGAAGTTCGTTTTCTTCAAAGTCAGTAAAGACTGAATCATCTTTGATACCGAACATGATATTATCGGCCTTGATGTCTAATAGGAAAAAGAGTAAGCGAACTATATGATGTAAGTAGGGGGTATGTTAGGTTACAAACCAGTGTGTGCAATCTGGCACTCTGTATGAAGATAATCCAATGCTAAAAAAAGGCGATGAAGAACGACTGCGATGACTGGTGAGGGTAGTCGCTCTACTGGGTTGCGGCGTAAGAAAGCTAAAACACTCTCCCATAGTGGGGGATGCACTAGGCATCGATGCTTGTCTTGAGGTCCATCGATGTAAAATGTATCAAGCAACGTTCTTATAACATCGCGACCGGGATGGGCAGTTACACATTGCTCCATATGTCTATACATATTAAGCTCGTTATCCACTTGCTGGCCCATGAACGAAGCCTGAACGAAGATTTTGAGCATGACATAACGACGGCCACTATAATTAGTGTATAAGTTTTGTCGACTTCTCTGAGAATCGTAAGGGATCTCACTCCATGTCCCGTGCAAGCCACGCAGTTGAAGTAGATCCAAATCCCAATTTTCCGATCACTTGATATCGCTCCTTGATGACTTCTCCTATTCGAGTTGGATAATACTGCGGGGCGGTATAGTCTGGTAGAGTTTCTTCTTCAATTTTGTGCCCTTCGGGTATCCGAACGAAGTTCGGATTAGAGAAATTCAGAGGTTTCCATCTCCGCCCGTGTTTGGGCAAAGATCGCAGAAGCGAAGAGAACATGATCTAAGGTAAGGGGACAGATTTGTCGTGTGTCGATTTGTAGATCAAAGACTGGAGTGTGCCAGGGGTGAAGGGATTGTCGAAGATCACCAAGTCAGGTGACCTCCCCCCTGGAGAACAGCGCAATGCCGTGTTCAGGGTGCGCTGGGATTTCACTAGAAAGTGATTAAACAGTTCTCTACGGCTGAGACCATCCATGCGGGTTCAAGCTCTGGGGCCATGTGGATCGTTTCCCACTTGCCGTACAGCCAGTATTGGACCCACGACGAGAACGACCCTCATTGAGCCCCAGACCACAGATGGATCCCCTGGGGATCTGAGGTCAGGATTGCTGTGGCATCACGTAATATCGCTATCCGTCCATAGATGGGTGAGTATATAGATCTTCAGACGCCTATTCCAAGCTTCTCTATTCTTAGTGCACATAAGGAGCACCCTGGAAAAAAGGGGGGTCTTGAGTGTAGAAGGTCAACCTCTAGAAAATATTGATCCGCAGTACAGGAGGTTACCGTCTGCATGATTGTCTCTTCTATGACTATCTGCTATTTATATTTGCTAGATAGATTGTTTAAGCGAGATGTTCGAAGTTTGCAACGTTTGCAAAGAATCAGCTATATCAACAGGCTCTCACTTTGCAACTTGTCTCTTCTTTCTTTCTTCATCTTCGTCGTTTAGTTGAATGTACTCTTTATTCTTGATCGATCTGGCACCTCAGGGGAGTGGTGCTAGTACTGATATACCGTACTTACAATACCATACCATGTTTCGTGCATTTGAAGACACCGGTCTAACTACTTATGTGTATGCGTAATATAAAACCAGACATCCGTCCATACACGACTGTTACAGACTGTTTTCTTGCCCCTCAACCCTCAGCATGAACACCACGCCAGAACAGATCCTTGACATCGAAGATGCTCTCGTTTCAGACGAGAATCCAGCGCGCGATGAAGATAGACTCGATTTTCAACGCTGCGCCAGATTGCACAACTACCTGGTCGCATATGCCTACATGGCCCGTAATGGAACAAATACGCCCGATCTCGACGCCCTAGCCAGGGAGTCATGGTTCTTCAACCAGCCGAACGAGAATATTGACGCCATTCGCGCTCGGCTTGACCCATCATTAAACTCATTCCTTGATTCAATCTATGATCCGACGCCGGGATTCTTCTACTGGGTGAGCAGGCTTCGAATGAGACTTGCCGACGAGTCTTTTCCTTTCGAAGATAACGATTTCGAGGATAAAGAGCGGTTTGTGATCATTTACGACACAACTCCCGATCTAGGCTCCCATTGTCTTGGTGTTCTCTACGACCAGCTGAACCATCGTGCCTCGTTCCCATTGACTATCGAGAATTCAGAAAGTATTGAGCCTGTTGCTGAACATTGGGATATGTGGTTTCCTCTAGAGACGATTCTTACTCAATGGATCTATATGCTCCGAATTGGAAAAATCACGGCCGATCCAAGGAACGAGGGAGACTTATCCGACGAGGAAGCGAATTTGCGACATCAATTTGGATTATGGTGTTGGCACCCATACTGCGCTGCTCAGATTGATAGTACGGTTGCTGCGATGGACCGCTACACGGACGCGGTCGAATCACGGATGCAGTCTCTTTTACCAATATCCCGGGATACACCATTGTTTACCGATGCAGAGCTCGATGCGGCTTTAGTGCCAAAGGAGTGCTTTATTCGCTCTTTTCTGACCCGAGTGAGGACCCCACGTTTCAAGCTAATCGCGCCCGGCCTGGGGGTTCCGCACGATAAGGAAGCCTTCACAGCGCGTCAGATTTTCAACGCGGAAGGCCAGGGCAGGGTTGTACCGTCATTCCTCCTCTTTGCATCTGCGGATGTTAGGCGCACGATCAGTTTCAACGAAGAAATTTATCGTTTGTTCTTTGGATTGAGAAATGATATACCATTCAACGAAGGTGATCCTATCCCCACAGGATTATATAATGCGACGGTCAATCGATTTGAATACGATTCTGAAGAAACTGGATTCCACCTTCTACTCCCATTCACACTACGGCCGAATATTGCCGACGAGGATGGAGCTAGGCGGAGTGATGGAACTCTAGTGCCATCTGGCTCATCCACGCAGCTTTTCCAGCATGGCGTTTTTCACCCGTTTGGCGGAGAGCACCGGGGGCAGAGATTGGAGAGGTTGTTTGATCGATGGACTGAATTGATTGAAAGTGGCGTGTGGACAGTGGGCGAAAATGGCGTTGAGGGAGGGATCGATATGTTCCGGGATGCAGATCATGGCGCCTGGGAGGATTACTGGATTCCCCCATCCTGGTGAGATTTGATTGAATTATTTAGGAAGAAAAGTGCATGAAGAAGGACAAGCAACATCAATGGATTTCAAGTATCCATGCATCTTCTACGTACAGACACCACTATAACAGTTCGGACCTGAGCAATAAGCAGTAGAGTTGCCACATTATCCACTTACAGAGCAGCAGCATAACCGCACGAATCGACGAGACAGCGTCTGCGTCTGTGGTTTAGTATTTGAAGAGGCTTGGGGCATAGTAAACAGAAGTAAGAATAAAGTCAAGATGAAGAATCAGGTGTCTGGTGGCTTCCTGCCTTGCAACCTACGAGTTAATAAAAAACAACAAAACCAAACGCTTGGCCTTAATGTGACTTTGAGGGCATTACAAGCGGTCATTCCCCTACGCTCCTGGGGCTTTGAAACCCTACTCGCAAGCATCCGCATATATATGTCAAGTCCATCACCAGATAACCACACTCAAGCCAAATGACTCCTCGCGTTATCTCGGTATAGGTAATATATGAGAAGCCAAATCGTCCGAGAAATCTCTTGGTATTTTGTTACATCACTTTGTTAACTCATCTAATTCGGAAACGTAATATTAATCAAGTGTGAGCCGTGAAGGGGAACGATACGGATCTGCTGGGGAATGTGGGGCGGCAATGGAATATGCCTCTTGTGCATGACCGTTTTTCGATCGGTTGATGACTTTGAAGCCTCGGTCGAAGTTCTTGATGCAGACAATGGCGCATACAATGGTTGCAGAAGTCAGCACCACAGATACCGATGCGAAGAATAACATTATGTCCTTCCCGGCGGTGGCAGCCCCACAAAGAATGACGATGCGGGTGATGAGATACAAAAGTAGACCGAGGTAGCATATCTTGCAAAGGTTCAGTGGTAGTTCTTCGTAGAGGCCTGACAGGGTAGGAAGCAAGGGAGCTCACAATGATACAAACAACGCCAATGGTTCGTTCGTGTTGGACAAGCCAGATACCAAGTAGCATAACGATGAATGAGGCCGGAATGAGGAGCATTGTGAGAGTATACTCCGGTTCCTTGAAGTGTACATACACCAGGTTGTATTGGATGATGAAGCCCAACAGGAAGTAAAAGAGGAGTTTTATCAGAACCAGGAAGATCTGTGCTCATCTTTTGTTAGCATGGATACTTGAGATTTGTTCATAGGCCAGTGAAGCCGTGGGTGGTGGAAATCACCTCGTAGAATAGATAACGTATTCGTGTTTTCAAGCTGCCATGAACAGACTTGTAGATGACCCATGAATACTCCCTATGCAAATAGTATACAACGAAGCACAGAAGCAGAGTGCACAATCCTGTAATTATTGACACTACAATCTCCGCGGGCTGAATCTGGGGCCAGAGGTTGCGCCACCAGAGTTGGAAACCCATAGCGCTGGTCAAACAGTTGCGTGATAGCTCCTCTCATGTAAATGTACTGCATAATAGAGTACGCAAAACTGCAGGCATCGCAGATGCAGATTGAAAAGAGAAGAACATTATTTTTGTTATGGATCGCATCCAGGGCGAGGATGAACTCGTAAACCGAGGCGAATATGAAAATGCCTAAATTAATTGGGACCATGTAGGCTACTGGAACCTGTGTGATGGTAGGAGTAACCCATAGCTGCCATTCCACGAGTATATAGCTAGTGTTCTGGTTAGGGTGGCTCGGACGAAGATAGGGACGAGAGCGTACATCTTAAGGGCAATGGTCAGGATAACCTGCGTGAATAACACGATACACAACCACCATTCATTTCTTATGGTCGGTCTATACATATCAGGTCGCTTTTCTGCTCTCTCGCTGAACCATTGAAGATGGAAATGAATATTTTATTTTTATCCCTTAGACTATTCTTTTCCTCTACCTCACGTGATTCTTCTGACTACGAATGTAGTCAGTGTCAAACCAATGGGAATTATTGCGGTAAAGGATTAACCTTCTTCGGTGCAACTCACGCAGATCTTTCATTAGTACGGAGTAGTTGTGGATCTCTTGTACGGAGCATGTTTATGGTATAATACCTACTAGTGATCTCGACGGCGATAGTCGTTGCAGAGCGAAGCGACTGATTCTGACTTCTAATGCTGCGCAAAGCCCCCTCTTACTGGCTTATTGGCTTCACAGCGACCCCTCGGCTAGATCAACTTCCCTGCTTTTATCATAATTCAGCCCTAAGAGAAACTTGGCCATGTGACCTTACCTGGTCACATGACCATGCATTAAAACGCTATTATTTCAGGAGAAAACTTGGCCACGTGACACGTAAGACCTTCTGACGGAAAAACGGTGGTAAGGCGAGTGTATACGTGGCAGAAAAATCTCAATAAATTCTCTAACTCTCTAAAAAATGACAATAGTCCCAAAAACCGACAATCTTATGGACAACTTAGTAATCAAAACAAACAAAACAAAATGAAAGGATGTTTTTCGCCAGAAAACTGTGGGACTGGTTTTTCGGGCGAAAAACCAGCCTGGTCAATCACGTGACCCATCTGTATCAGGGATGAAAAATGACAGTATTCATCCTAGATTCTGACACCTTCTGGTTTATACTTGCTTCGCTTCGCTCCGCAATAACATAGCTAACTAACTGATCTTAAGCTGTTAGGTAGTTATGAATTCATGGAGGATTTTCCCTTTTGAAGTAGGACTTTTTTCTCTTTTCTCGATATTGAAAGGAAGACAAGGTTGCAATGACTATGTACATTAAATAAGCATCTGAACAAACCGAAGCGATTGAATCCGATCAATGAATTGTATGAAGTTATAGTGTCGAGATATTTCTCCGTGCCCGATGGCCTATGCTTTCACAGGAACATGGACCATCCACTGAAGAAGCTCATAGATGATCTGAGTCACCGTAATTGCCGTCGTATCTGCATTGTTGTCGTACACAGGGGCAAACTCTACAACATCCGCGCCAATAATGGGCAGGCCAGCTTGCGACAGACCATACAAAATACGGAGAAGCTCCCGTGTCGTCCAACCACCAGGTTCAATGGTTCCAGTCGCAGGCGTGAAGGCTTCTCTCAGTCAGCACAAGTCGCTTGATATAATCAAGGTAGAGTGTGTAGTACTTACCGGGGTCGAGTACATCGATGTCAATGCTGACATAAACATAGTTATCACTGACTGTGTTTACAATTCTCCGAATAATCTCGTCGATTCCAATCTCATCGATCATTCGGGCACGGATAATAGTGAATCCACAGCGTACATCATTATCCAAGTCGTAGAATTTATCAAAGAGCATGGATCGCGATCCTAGATGCATGTTGCTGTCGTTGGATAGCAGCCCTTCCTCGTGTGCTATATGGAGCATACTTCCATGGGTTACTTCAGAGTATTTTGTTAATCCACCCCCTAGCTGCTTCGGGTCCCATGTATCAAGGTGGGAGTCGAAGTGAAGGACTGCAACCTTGCCCCAGGTATGTTTCAATGCTCGGATCGCCGGAAGTGCTGTCCATTTATATTAGTATATCAATCAGCAGCTATACACCAAGGGCATCTTACTAATTGTATGATCTCCTCCAATCGAAATCAGTCTGACATATTTGCCCTTTTCCTTATTTTGTGGCTTTCTTGAGGCAGTCTTCGTCCACCCGGCCTCTAGTTCGTGAATAGCTTGAAGTTTATCGAATGGGGTATTAGAGATATCGCCGCAGTCAATAATAGATGCCCAGTCTGTAAAAGGATTGACCATATGGTCCATACTGGATATTTTGTCAGTTATATATTTGATTCATCTATATAGAAGAGACTTGCCTATATGCGAAACCGGGGTCTAATCGACGTGACCCTGATCTCGTCCCAAGGGGACCAAATCGTTCACCTGGTCGATAGGTAACACCTAGGTCGAATGGAGCACCGACAATACCAATATCAAAAGTCTCATCGCTAGCCGGGACAAAGCAATTAGTCCAATTCAGGTGGGCAAATGTTGCGATCCCGCTGAACGGAGGGGTAAAATCATTCTCAATGTGATAATCGCTCTCAATGTGGAACTCATATTGACCGGTGGTAAAGGTATCAGCACTGGACTGTGGTCTGAAAATACTGCTTTCGAGAAATGATGAGTCGGTTGACGCGCTCAATTGATGTTGGGTAAGGACCTTGGGAACAACAAATGCTGCTGTCAAGGGAACGAAAAGTGCCCCCAGCCCAGCGAGAGCGACGGAGAAAGGCATGATGTTTGTTCAATGTGAATTAAAAAGAAACATGAATTCATTTTCCTTTAAGAATAAAAGTAACTCTTGGTAATTCCATGACGAAGCGACATGACATCGCTATCAGTGCCAACATTGCGGGTATCAGACCCGATTAGGTAACTAACCGGCCCCTTGAAATTTTTTTACCAAAAATACGGACCCTCGCATCTGGCACATGTGACTTAGTGTTTGAAAGACGTTGAGGGAGATGGCTTGTCTAGGTGTGTCGGCTGTTCAAACTTATATGGCAGGTAGCTTCTAGTCGGATGGCTTGTACATGATGATTATGAAGATGATTTATTCGATTATTTTCTCATTTGCGACTCCTGTTATCCATTGTGGCGCTATCGGGAATTCATGTTGACTTGATCCATGCGGAATGTCTCAGTAGACCAGTAGACTTATACACCTTCGTAAGTAGCCGGAATGTTTTCGTTCCATGAATGGGCATCTAACCCTGTACCAAAAGAAGAACACACCTGGGCATAGGGTAACAGTGGGTTTTTGTTCAAGCTACCTTGTGGAGCGGTGCGACTTGTGCGCGACTTATGCCTTGAAAATATCCAAGTGGTACTAACATGGAATAGCGGCTTGATAGCTGGAGGACCCAAACTCGCGACAGGGACTTTTGCAGATCATATTTTTATCATTCTTACGTTCAAGGCATTCTTAGCAATATAAGACCCTGAGCAAGGCAATACACCATGATAGAATGCGTACGCATTCCTCATGTGATGACCTTCATTCGTTCATCCGGAAACTCAGGGGAAAATTCCTTTGGCTATTTATCTCCATACAGAACCATAGGTCGTGCCCATTTCACTCCATAGATTTGAAGTAATATAATTGCCGGGACCATTCCGAAGAAGGTGATCAAGCCCTGTGCGACAAAACACCAGAAATAGCCTATTCAGGACAGTTACTTGTAGCAGCAGATATGAAAAATGGGTATCATGTTACCTGACGATTCGACCCAGCTACTTATGAACCATGGTTCAACAAACGATGCAAGCTGTAGGAAACGTTAGCTTTTAGATGAAGGTAATTGAACGGCTAAGTCTTATATTAAAGAGCACGGAATAGAATGTAATCACATCCATGACATGCTCTGGGTATAAATCGACCACAAAGCTGGACATAGTCGTGTTTCCGATCTGTATTCCAGCTCCAACTGTGACGGGCCTCAGTCAGCCATGCTAAAAGTGAGGGGGTGGAATTCTTCAAGGAGAAGCCTCAATGAACTTACAGAGAAACAAGGCAACCTCTCCGGTCATCCAATGCCAGTCTTTGTCGATAGATACTCCCCACAAAGCGTATCCAATACCTGCAGTCAACGCGGCTGGATATGCCAACCAAAGTCGCAACGCTGGGTTTTTTTTTTGGCTTTTGCTCGCCATGGTGCCAACAATCCAATCTCCTAATCTCCCTGACATGAACACCTCTCCCACTATGGAGCCCAGCATAAACCCGATGAACAAAGCTCCCTGTACAGAGGTCGAAAAGTCGGAGTAGGCGGCGGGGGCCATTATCATTACCGAGTTGCACCTAAAAGCCGACGTCAAGTTCTTTTCCTTTGGAAAGGGATCGGAGACGTTGATACCACCAATATTGAATAAAGACGAGCGAACAGAATCCGAATGTGACAGTGGGGTAAGTCCACATTTGAAGGTATCGGAAAGTACTTGTCCACAAAGGCCCAGAATTTATTCCAGGGACACGGGTAATATTCTAGTTCAAAGTAATGTTCAGTAGGGGGATTCAAGAATTATGGGTGGGTGTTGAGGTTTTCCTTACCCAGAGAGGGATATTTTTAGTTCGCTTTATTGTTTCTACCCCATTGCTAGGGGTAATATGGCTTTCGGTCAAAGCCATCGGTGTTTCAGCAACAATCAAATCGCGAGGATAAAGAGTCTCCGGTAGGGTGATTATGATGAGCGCGAGGAGGACAGAGTAAAGAATGACAAGGTGGTAGCTTGACCAAAACTGATTTGCCTCTCCAAGAAAACCCCCAACTGTACAGAATGGTTAGCAGTAATAAAAGAATGGAGTATCGGATCGTACTTAGAAGGCCTAGTGGGGCTCCAATGGTCGTTCCCATAACCCAGAGACCAATCCGAAATCCTCGTTCGTGGCTCCAGGAAATGTCGTCTAAGATGGCGAGACCGACATTCAATCCTGGTCCGGTTCCAAGTCCCTGAAAAAATCGAGCGGCCATGTATCCGCTCAGCTTGATTGACTGGATAGAAGCACATCCACTTGCTATAATAGCAATGCTGATACTAATGATGAGAACAATCCTCCGACCATATGTATCGGCAAATGGCCTTGAGATCAATGGACTTATTGAAAGGCCCAAAGAGGGAGTGGCGATACTCCACGAAATGTCCTGATAGGAGGCATTGAATTGGGTCTGCAAGGCCAATGTAACAGGTATATAGACGGTGGTTGAATAAACAATAAGCAGACTGTAGATGAACACAACCAGAAGACAGCACAATTTGGTATATTGATTGAAATTCAACGGATCAAGGTGATCATTCGTGGGGTTTGGCTGCAACGGCAGACCGTACGGATCAAGTCTCTCGCAGGTACCTGCCTCTATTCCCGGGGATGCACTGTTGACGGGCGTTATCTTCGTAGAAGACGAAATACTTCTTTGATCCATAGTGAAATCCTTCGTTTTTTCGGTTCGTGATTTGATAGTTTCGATGCTTCGTGGGGAGGTATCTGCAGGCATGTTTCGTGAGGCTTTGCTAGATATGTATGTATGAACGTTTGGAGAGAGAGGAAGGGGCGAGTGGGGAACAGCTAATCTACATTAGATTTAAGCTGTCTGGATCAAGAGTGATTCCGAGTGACTGTTCGTATCGATTCAGCCAGGTCGGCTCAACAACTATCAAAGACAAATTCGATAACCACTTCAACCGTTCCATGTAATTTTGGTTTCTGATACAGTCTCGGTACTGTCGTTTATCTCTTTATCTCTTTATCTCGATCTTTATCAGCCGGACCTTCCCAAAGGAGTTTCATAACCGTTCTATGATCTATCTAGATTACCAGTCGCCACTTTAGGAATTGCGATGATAAATCTGACAGGGTATTATCACATCACTAAAGAAAAAAGATTATGTGTTACGAAGGAAGATACTCGTCCCTGGTATTGGCAGTCACCTGCGTTTTAAGACTGATAACGGGATTGAGTAGCTTGAGAAGCTAAAACAAGTAGCCGAGCTTAACGACAACTTTGGCAAGCCTTGGTAGTACGGATCTAGATCCTCCACATTTTTGTAGACCTAAACTTCTTTGGACCAAATATGCGCGATTTGCCATGCCGGTCGGTGACATTTACCGTTTCAAGGGAATCCGGAAAGATGGGGACTTGCGGAGAAGGGGAGACTCATGAAGAAGAAACAGACATGATTCAGAAAGGTGAAGCCTGTCCTGTAAACTTGAACTTTGAGTCGTTCGTTCATATTGATACCTTGCATTCATAGATGCCCATATAGACTGAAGTCGATTGGTAGCCCTAAGTTCATGGATTATACGCAAAGTATGCGGGGTAGACTAAGTCTGTTTGAGCCATATAGCCGCCAGAAAACTTGCATCTTTCCAAATTATCTATCGCTATCGCTGGCAAAATCAGTATGTACAGTATCCTTTTGCGGCTCCAGATAATATATTGACCTGAAAAGATATAGCCCTTTTCTCTATCTAGACTTTGCTTATCATTTCGTGGTTATTTTGATACCTATTAATACCTACTGTAGTCATAGGTTCTAGGTTTAACGTAAACATGTATATTTTGCCTTTGTGATTTAGGTGCCTATGATTGAAGCAAGGGCCCTGGGCCCGCCTACCTAGATTGTATCCCCGGAGGCCTTTTCTGCAATAACAATTCCAATTATATGGGAACTGCTCAGGTGTCTACCTTGGGGTTTCTCTGGCCGTGGGTAGCTTCGGGTTATTCCAGTATCGTCAGAACCGTCATCGGAAAAACATCTACTAAGATAGGATAGAAATACCAAGACAACACACAACGTAAGATGAGCCTGGATAGAGTAAAGTAATGTATTGATGAGACCAAAACCAAAGAAGCATTGTAGGATTGTCTCCTAGTAGGCCTCTTGGTGGAATAACTGCAAGGGTGATCCTCCAGGGCTATCTTCCAGTCTTCTCTATTTGCACATGTCTAACATTTCAAATTCACACGCTCTTCTTCAAAAACAAAGTCTGGGTATTGCAGAAACCCTTCAGCCCATTCAGACCCCACTCAACGCCAACGCCACTCTCCTTATGACCACCGAAGGGAGCGGTAGGGCTTAAGCTGAAGTGATCATTAGTCCAAACAGTACCAGCTTGAATCTGGCGTGCAACTCGAGCCGCGCGGTCCAGATCAGCGGTCCAAATTGAAGCGCCAAGTCCCATCGAGGTGTTATTAGCACGCTCGATAACCTTCGTCTCATCATCCCACGACAGCAGAGGTACAATCGGACCTGTTAAAAATTAGCAAAGGCTCTCATCTATAAAATCCATAGACACGCTTTGGCTCACCAAATGGCTCCTCGACTACAATTCGGGAGTTGTCGGGGGGTCGGTCAATAATTGTGGGAGTGACCATGTACCCAGATGAGGGCTCAATCCGACCACCAGTAGCAACCTTCCAGCCCTGCTTCTCGATATCATCGAAGAAAGTCTTTACACGCGAGTATTGCATATCATTTTGAAGAGGTCCGTGGCTAATTCCAGCCTTAGAACCATCGCCGACAGTGTAAGACTCCACCTGGCGAACTAAGGCATCCCTGAACTTTTCGAAAATGGAGCTGTGCACATAAATTCGCTTCAAATTGAGGCAAATCTGACCCGAGTTCAAGAATGCGAAGAATGCAACCTGTGACGCTTAGCCTAGCGTACAAATTTCGTTTCGTACCAAAAGATCCTCACCTTCTCGGCCACCTTTTCGATGTCAACGTCGGGGAACACAATGGCAGGATCATTTCCACCGCTAAGAATTATTTCAGTCAATGGATCGTGCATACCGCCTGAACTCAACATACAACTCAAGGGTTACGCGTTTCAGTGTTCCGCTAGCACTTTGTAATACTCTCTTTCCGGTAGTGGTAGAGCCAGTAAAGCTGATCTTGTCAATACCGGGATGACTTGTGAGCCAGGGTCCCAAGTTATTATCGCCACTCAAAGACTGCACCACACCCGGAGGGAAAAACTTCTGGGCTAGTTCGACAAGCTTCAAGCCGCCGTATGGTGTAAATGGGCTGCATATTTGTTAGTATAAACCACTAGAGTCATAACATGAAGGAACCCACGAAGGCTTCACAATAATGACGTTACCAGTCAAAAGAGCAGGTGCAATCTTTCCGGTTGCGAGCATCAAGGGGAAGTTCCACGGCACAATAGCCCCAACGACACCGAGAGGAACATGTCTTGTTATCACCGTCCTTGTCTCATCATCTTCGATAACGTCTTCGATAGCTGGAAGGCTAGCCATTCCTCGAATCCAATCAATAGCATTATTAATCTCGAGCGTCGCTTGGAAAATCTGTTCAATGTGTTAAAAGTACAGTGCATATACAATATCAGATAGTGATGACATACTGGCTTGCCTTGTCCGGTGATCAAGAGATCTCGGAACTGATCCCTGTATTGATCAATAGCGTCTGCATATGCCAATACGGCCTTCTTCCGATCCTCATGTGGCGTCGCAGACCAGAGCTTGAAGGCAGCTTTTCCGGCCGCAGTGGCTTTCTCAAGATCCTCTGGTGTTGCAACTGGAACCTCTGGCAGGACTTCCAAGGTCGCGGGGTTCAAGCCATGGCGAGTGAACTCCGTAGTAGAGCTCTTACCATTAATTATTTGAACATAGTTCGACCTAAGATCGAAGTCGACAGTCATATTGAAATATTCGAGCTTATGGTATATATCAGAGATGCACTAGCACAAATATCCTGTCGGGAACACCACCATCCCTCTTATATGTTCATCAAAGGCAAATACGTGAGATTTTAGTCGACTATGCCTTTTCTCGCTACTTTGCCGCAAATTTCGTCGCAAAGACCTAAGTTTCCCTATTCCCATCTTAATCTAGTGAGCCCCACTTCCATGCGGTACCCGCACGAGCACTGGCTATTTTACCCAAACTAGAACTTATAAGCTTATTAGAAGATTAATACCAAGCGAGAATGATGGAATGGTGGTTGCACAGATAGGCGGTCCTCAGCCGTAAGTGCGATGGTGCGGAAAAGAGGAGAACGAAGTGTTAATGTTCATTAGAGTAGGTTGGCGAAATTATCAGGATATTTGGAAGCCCACTTCGTCATCGTCGGTGTTACTTAACGTCCAGTGGGATTGCAGGAGAAGCCTGCGATCCAAGACCTCCCATGGAGTATTGAGACGCGCTTAGCTAAGGAATTATCGACTTCGAAGGGCAAGAAGAGGCATTATATTCCGAAATGGTTCTATCGCATCAAGTATCATAATCTGGCAGTTGTAGTATACTACGAGTCGATAGAGCATTGCCTAAAACACATTGATTTGACAAAACCAGTCAGATCATATTTAGCCCAATTTAACTAACTAACTGAAAGCTTGGAAGGTGAATGATTTCACGGTGAATCTTCAATACTCTCCCGCAAGGCCGTTGATACCTTCTTCAATGATTCGCTTCGGTGCCCAGACAATCCATTCAAAATCCTTTGAAGGTGCAACCTCCGGACCATCTTCATAAGCCATGACATCCTTGAAAGGAAGTATGCCACTGTCAAGTGGAGTCGTTGGGACTTCACGCCGAAGTATGCGAGCCATAAATCTTCTAATCGAAAGTATGAATGGCTCAGCATCGGGAAAAGTAGTCGTGACATGAGATGCAGATATTGCCAAACGTGGCGGAGCCCCAAGCCCGGTGTGCTGACTTGCGAACCGAGCGTTTTCCCCCTTTACAAGCTCCAACACCTTGTCCAAACTCCTCCACCAAGTCACTAAATGGCTTCTTTCCTCGAAAATGATAGGAGCCCTGATAACTCTTTCCACTTCACACTCTTGCGTGTCTTTAGATGAAGCCTCATAGAAGCTGTCTCCCACACAAATGAGACGAGAGTCCCGATCGTACCATGTAAGGGAGTCGGGCGTATGACCCGGTGTGTGGATGATGGTGATCCCCGTAGGTATTTTGATAGACGGGTTAGGGGAATATACCACATCTTGGTAGTCTTCGGCCCACATGCCAATAGAGTAGTATGGGCATTCTGCATCGAACTTTTTCGCAAGCGAGTGGCAGCAAATGTGCTTCCACGGACTTATATGGTCTGAGCTGTGCGCAGAGGAAAGTACAGTTGTCGGGGGTCCTTTCCGTTGGTCAACATTCAGGTGTTGTGAGTCCGAGTCGGTAGGTGGCATTGGCCATCCGGATTGATTGTGTGCTTCAATACGGTATAGATATTCCAGTACTCGGGGGTTTTGGGATCTTTTGAGGAATCGTAATCGGGATTCTTGATAGACGTTGCGCAACCAGCATCACTGAGAACAATGACGGAGGTCAGGGATCTGTCGGAGGAGTTAATCATAGAAATTATTTTTTTCAGACTTTGAAATAAGCTATTTACCCATTCTTGTCTGGAGCTGAGCAAATTTTTGCGTAGATGTTTGGGAATTGGCCATAGTTGTCGTGTTCTCGAAAAAGGTAGATCGATTCATTCAAACGACGAACGTGGAATGGGCACGATGCCGGAACATCAAGGTTGTATTCCACCATGGCAATGGAGGTTGAATAAATAAAAAATGCGATAGATGTATTGCGCGCAGCCTTGGAAGTTTGCAAGGCTAGTTCCAATCTGAGATCTAGTTTTCTAGACTAAGATTAATAGGCTGGCTCTTTTTATTTGAGGACATTAATACAACCTTAGGACCGATGAAGGATAGCTTTATCGCAGTCTAACCATATACGGTAGTATATCCGCATATATGTTTCCGTTGTTTTCATCGTATTCACTGTTGCTGCCGAGATATTCCTCCTTCCGTACGGGTTCAAGTTCCGACCTCAGGTGCTTCATATTCTTTATCATGGCGTGGCAGGTGTAACTAGATCTGAACCCACACTCAAGTGAATTTAATATAAATTGCATTTCTTTGCATTCTGATTGGCCCATATGTAAATAGTGCTCCACAGACAGAGCGCCGCCATGATATCAGACCAGGTAGCCCATTGGTTATCTGAATGTCAAAAACAACGGAGACATACACCTTTTGTAGCGGCGGTGTTACTTAGAGTCATGAATTGGATATGTACCCCTGCTTTGACGTCGTATATTCCTAGACACTCATCACGATAGGATATTCCGATGGCCAATGATGTTTTCCCGTGATAAGGAAACTCGAGTGTACCGAGTTTTACGCATTAGTTTTCGAGTGCCCGGGATATCAAATTGAATTGCAGCATGGTCAAGATCAGAAGCTCCCGTCATTACGTACTAGGGACGGCCAAGTAGTCCATGAAATCTATCATTCGCGTTGAACATGATAGGAAAACGCTTGACTGCCATTCAGGACATCATGGCCGGGTTATTCTTGTCTCTGAAGTTCCTGCACTGGATTCGGGAAACGCATGCGACTGCGCACATGATGCACAACAAAAGCATGGCGCTAGAACTCCATTTGATGCAGCAAGGCTACTTCATACCAGTTGCACTTTAGCGGCTTTTCTTTTAAATGGATAGCGTCAAAATGGCGCGTAACACACCCAGTGTCATGATACATCTGGAAGCGAACACGGTCAGGGAGCCCCTTGGTTACAAAGCATTGAAAGTAACCCTCTGGCTTCTTAGCATTCTCCAGGTATTCCTTAGTAGTACGCGACGGCTTGCCGATATTAGAAACAGGTACCTCGTATGAGTTGGCAACGTTTTGGGTCTGTATAGTATCTTGCGGTTGATTTATGAGACTAGCCGACGTAGTAGATTTAGAGGCATTCCGCTTAGGCCGGCCCCTTAACGGACCTCCCTCTAGGACGTTACTAGTAATCTCGACGGCCGTCGAGATAGTCGTTGCAGAGCGAAGCGACTGATGATCACATGATGGCCCATTAGAACGCTATTACTATTTCAGGTGAAAACATGGCCACGTGACACGTACGTAAAACCTTTTGATTTATAGTTACTTGCTTCGCTTCGCTCCGCAATAATAATAAATAACTTGAAAGGTTCAGTTCTGCCAATTGAAACCCTAGGCAACGTGAAATCTTGGAATATATCTGAAATATCACCCGAATCCTATATTATTACTAAAGAATTGAACCCATTCACTTATATTAACAACTAAACCTAAAATCTAAGAGATAGAAGAAAAAAAAGAAGTGGACGGGCAGCGATTCGAACGCTGGACTTTTCGCATGCAAAGCGAACACTCTACCAACTGAGTTACGCGCCCATTTGATATAATTCATGGGGATTTTTGGATATATATTGCAAATGCAGATAAGCTAAATTTGGCTTTACCATATCACTCCGAAGTATCAATGTTGACTGGGTAGAAGAATTTCTTCTAACTGAGTCGTCGTTAAATAATAAGCAGGATTATTCTGCTCGGTAAAGCTGTGGTCTACTAGAATAGGCAGTGAGAGGGAGGGAATCCGACATGATGAAGGTTGTACATCGAAGATATCGAAAGTGATTCATCTATGATTACATCCATGGATGTAACTACTTAGCCCGATTAGACGCCGATAACAAATTAGGATCGGAACTTCTATACGGAGTACTTAAAATGATAACTTCTTTTTTAACGAAGACTATCTCCTCTTTCTCCCTTTTCTTTCTATAACTTCTTGGATCTATCTCACTCAAGCCTACTTTTGATCAACCCAACGCTACCTAAATAATGCCCTTCGCTTCGATCCGCCAGCCATTTAAAAAGGGCTTGGTATTTAGTCACAAACTGGCGCCTCCACGTTAACGTTTCACTATGGTCTATGATTATTATGATGGACGAAGAATAACGCGCTTGGAAAGAAATGCTGTTATGTCCAAGGAAACTAAATAGAAGCCACTTTAGAGAGTTGGCCAGAGGATACTGACGAAAATAGCTAAAGGTGGCTTGGATGGGGAATCTGGTGGTTTTCTTTACTTTTGGTTTTGTCGAATAACACTAATATATGATAACTTGAATAATTGCGTTCTGGCGATTGGGTTCTGATCGAACTTCGGGGATTGTTGCGCTCTCTCTCGCTTTAAATGAGTAAGAGTAGGACTGATGACTTGAATATCCATATTTGTTTGCCCAGTTTCTGCTACACTGAACAATGAACAATACACAATAATCCGTATTATATTTATCATTGAGTGCTAATATAGACGGAGCTCCTTATTCAGTGTAAATAGTGAGTTATCGTATCCTTACTCTTCTGCCAGGCCAAATTCAAGGATTAAGGCCTAGAAAAAGCAGCTGGCGCTTTGCAAATGGTAAGCAAGCAAACAAGACAAATATAAACATCACGGTGATCCATAGACAATTGTGTAGTTCGTATGCTGTATGTCCACGAAATGCTCGACAGAAGTAAAGACACTTCACTACAATCTACCTTACAGTTTACCTTACAGGTTACCGTCTCAAACATAAAATAGAAAGATCCCAGTTCTTATTGTAGAACTAATAAAAATGAAAAGATAAAAAACATCACAGAGGGTCGTATCCCATTTCCCATTTCCCGTAAGACTTAAAAATTAGCAAAAACGCAAGAAGGGGCTGAATTGATCTAATCAACCTCCTCCATGGTGCTCTCGCCGGTAGCCTCGGCGGGAGCAGCAACCTCGGCAGCAGGAGCGGCCTCGTCCTCGTCGATGTTCAGACCAAGGGAGACGAGCTTGTGAATGCGCTCGGCGAAGCTGGCGGGCTCCTCGATGGTGAAGCCGGAGACCAGCAGGGAGGTCTCGAAGAGCAGCTGGGTGATGGACTTGACGGTGCGGTCGTTCTCGCCATCGGCGTCAACCTTCTTCTTAAGCTCCTTGATAATGGGAGACTTGGGGGAGATCTCGAAAGTCTTCTTGGAAGACATGTAAGAGGACATGGAGGTGTCGCGGAGGGCCTGGGCCTTCATGATACGCTCCATGTTGGCAGACCAACCGAACTGGCCAGTACGGATGGCGCAAGGGGAGCCAACCAGCTTGGAGGAGACAACAACCTTCTCGACCTTGTCGCCGAGAACGTTCTTGAGGGCCTTGGCAAGACCCTCGAACTCCTTCTCCTCAGCCTCGCGCTCGGTCTTCTCCTCCTCGGTCTCCTCGAGCTCGAAGTCCTTAGTGATGTCGACGAGCTTCTTGCCATCGTACTCCTTCAGCTGGGTGAAGGCGTACTCATCAATGGGGTCAACCAGGAACAGAACCTCGAAGTTCTTCTGCTTGAGAGTGTCCAAGAAGGGAGAGTTGGCAACGGCCTTGAGGGACTCGCCGGTGATGTAGTACATGTTCTTCTGGTGCTCGGGCATGCGAGTGATGTAGTCTGCGAGGGAGGTCATCTCATCGCCGGACTTGGTAGACTGGTAGCGCAGAAGCTTGGCCAGAATGGGGCGGTTCTGGGCGTCCTCGTGGATACCGAGCTTAATGTTCTTGCTGAAGGCGGCGTAGAACTTGTCGAACATCTCACGGTCCTCGGAAATCTCGACGAACAGCTCAAGGGTCTTCTTAACGATGTTCTTCCGGATGACCTTCATGATCTTGTTCTGCTGGAGAGTCTCACGGGACAGGTTGAGGGGAAGATCCTCGGAGTCAACGACACCCCGGATGAAGCTGAGCCACTCGGGGATGAGGTCTGTGCAATCGTCGGTGATGAAGACACGGCGAACATAGAGCTTGATGTTGTTCTTGGTCTTCTTGGTCTCGAACAGGTCGAAGGGAGCGCGCTTGGGAACGAAGAGAATAGCGCGGAACTCAAGCTGACCCTCAACGGAGAAGTGCTTGACAGCGAGGTGGTCCTCCCAGTCGTTGGAGAGGGACTTGTAGAAGGAGGCGTATTCCTCATTGGTGATATCAGCGGGGTTGCGGGTCCAGATGGGCTTGGTCTTGTTAAGCTCCTCCTCCTCGACCTTGGACTCCTTGATGGTCTTGGTCTTCTTCTCCTTTTTCTCCTCCTCATCATCGACCTCCTCGACCTTGGGCTTCTTCTCATCATCCTCCTCCTTGGTCTCCTCGGCATCCTCATCGGGGACCTCAGTCTCGGTCTCCTTAAGGACGTGAAGGTAGATGGGGTAGGAGATGAACTCGGAGTGCTTGCGGACAACCTCCTTAATGCGGGCCTCGTTGAGGTAGTCCAGCTGCTCATCCTTCAAGTGAAGGATAATCTTAGAACCACGGCCGAGTTGCTCGCCCTCGGTATCCTCCTTAAGGGTGAAAGTGCCACCGGCGGCGGAC